AGAGGCAGAAAAGATCTGAATACCAACAGACAAAATCTGGAACTGGATATATGTCATCTGTTGTGTTTACTGTTCGTTTTTGCTCCTAGAGTTTTGTTTGTCCTTTTATGCCTGGTTATTTTGGGGTACTGGCATTTCAGTATTACTTGGAATAATTTGATGCCTGAATCTTTTCACTTGCTTGTCAGACCCCTGGGAGTCCTACCTGTCAGTGGTTCCCTAGACCACGCTGGAGAGGCTAACCAGTACTTTCTCTTCACCCTTACCCTGAGCATCTGACAGTTTCCATCCCAGTTTAATGTGGATGGCTGTATCCTCTACCAACAAGGCCACTAAAACTACAATATGGCTTTGTAGTTCTTTCCTCAGGTTGGGTAGGTAAAAGCCACTTTCAGTTCTAGGCTTGCTTGGAGTTGCTGCACTTTTTCAGATTTTGGCCTGTTTCCTTATCTTGTTAGTGCTTCAGTACTTTTAAGAATATATGTGTTCTCTGACAGCTTTTTTTTTCCCCATTCTCAGTGAGGGTGGATGTGGTATAGGTTCCTTTAAATTACTTATCTGCCATTACTAAACAGTCAGCTCTCTATGTTGTTTTTTTAACTTAGTTTCTTATATGACCCTTTAGAATTTTCATTCAATTTCCAAATATGTTTTATCTATCTTGTCCTTAAGAAAAATTCAAATTTTCACCTGTTTTTGAAAACTGGTACATTCATATAATTATATTCAAAAGCTGTGAAAGGGTGTACAATGGAGTCTCTGCCTCACAATAGGGTCTTGCAGTGATTCATTTGTCCTCCCAGAAGGCATCTTACATTGCTGGAATTTTAGGTGTCCTAGTAGATTTTTATACTTCATTTGATCATTTGATCAAGCTTGTTGTGATTTTCAGTCTTTTATAGCATCCTGACTTTTGCTGCTAAGCTACATTAAAATTTACCAACATGTAGATCTTTCAGTTTTGCCTTCTAAGATGCATCATTTGGGCCTCGTGCAGTGTTGCATGTCTGTAATCCCAGGTACTTGGGAGGTTGAGGTGGGAGGTTGAGGCTGTAGTGAGCCATGATCATGTCACTGTACTCCAGCCTGGGAGACAGAGCCAGAGTCTGTCTCATAAATAAATACCCTACTTCTTTTTAGTTCAGTTTAACATTCCGTCTTTAGTACTCAAAAGTCTGTTTCCATTTGTGGAATTACAAAAATCATCAAGGCTTTAGGACTTTCAACATAGTAGAAATTATAATCTTGTCTGGAGACCTGGTTTTCAGTCTTAATACTAATTGCTTGATTATTGATGCTGCAATCAGTTCATTGCTTCAGCAAGTATTTGAGCTCCTTTGTGCTAGATGCTGGCATCAGTCAATGAAGAAATACATTTTTGGAGTTATGTGCTGATGGCAGATACAAACTTAATAAGTCTTGTATATTGTTGGAAAGTGGTAAGAGTTGTGTATAGAGCTAGGGTAGGGAAATTGGGAGTGTGGGTGGGAGGACTGTAGTGTCATGTTACCACTGAAAAGCAGACATTTGAATGAAATGAGCCATTAGGACATCCAGTAGAAGAGTAGAGCCAGGAGGTTTGGTGTAGCTGGAGCAGGGGGAATGAGGGTGACAAGAAGAGGGGCTGAAGAGCTGGTTGCATAGGGTTTTGTAGGATTTCGTAAGGACTTTGGTTGAAAGTGAGCTGATGGAAGGGTTCAGAGAATTGAAATGGTTTAACTTCTGTTTGAAAAGGATCACTGGTTGCTTTGTTGACTGGAAGGCATTTACTTTCTAATTAAGTAAAAGATTAATTAGAAATTTAATAACAAATGATCTTTATGTGTTTATATGTTAAGTTTGTTGAAGAGTCGTTTAGCACCTACCATGAGCATGGTATTTTTTGTTTGGATCATTGAGTCTATAACCAAGTGAATAAAAAGGTGGTTGTCTTCCAGGATCTGAAGCATATGTGACTACTTATTTATAAAAAGCCATTCTTATGCAGTGTAACATCTTATTTTGATGATCTGTGTCTAATGATCAATCCAGGGAGTTAGCATTGAAGTGTTAAAATTATTCCCTGTGTCATTTTTCAGTATAAATAATGGTTCTGAGTCGCAACTCTCATCTAATTATTTTCTTTCTTTCTGAGAGGGTTTTAAATGCTTACATATATATATATATATATATATATATATATATATAACATGCAGTATATATTTTCATCTTCCCTGGAGCCAATTTGACTATTATGACTGATTTTTATAAAGAAGTGATCTGATTCTTTTTTTTTTTTTGAGATGGAGTCTCACTCTGTCACCCAGGCTGGAGTGAAGTGGTACGATCTTGGCTCACTGCAATTTCCACTTCCCAAGTTCAAGCAATTCTCTTTCTTCAGCTTCCCAAGTAGCTGGGACTACAGGCATGCACCACCATATCCAACTAATCTTTGTATTTTTAGTAAAGACAGGGTTTTGCCATGTTTGGAACTCCTGACATCAGGTGATCTACCCGCCTCAGCCTGAAAGTGCTGGAATTACAGGTGTGAGCCACTGCTCCTGGCCCAAAGTCTTCTAAAAAGTTTTTATATCTGCCCCTAGGGCAGGAGCTTAGGTGGAGCAAAATCCCTGGGTCAAGGTGTTGAGGAGAACTCTATGGAAGTGTTGGGGACCATTGCTAACCATGTGCTTGTGTACCTAGTAGTGTTTTGACAATTCCTGGGTATAAATAAGAGAGGCAGAATTAGTGGATAAGATAGTAACTTTGAAAATCAGCACAGTGCTTTAATAGAAATGCATGTGGAGAGTAGGTACTACCGGTGGATAACGTTCTCTCCCAGGGTTTCCATCCCATTTCACTTGTTTTTGCATTCTGTTTTTGAATTGAATTGACCTGGCTACCCAGGTATCTGAGTGAACAGCTTGTAGGAAAAATAAAATAAGCAATTCAGGCAAGTCCCTATTATTGGTGTTGATATAGTAGTTATTCATTTGGATGTTTTATTGTTGCTACTGTTATCATCATTTTACTTTTTGTTGAAGAATGAGCATAGAAAAGTTAAGATCCAAATGTACAACTCAGGTAATTATCTCAAAGACGAATAATCACCCTCCATACATTAATAGGGGGAATGTAAAAGGGTTGCAGCCACTTTGAATAACAGCTTGGCAGTTCCTCAAAAAACTTAAAACGGAGGCCGGACATGATGACTCACGCCTGTGATCCCAGCACTTTGGGAGGCCGAGGCGGGTGGATCACCACCAGGTCAGGAGATCAAGACCAGCCTGGCCAATATGATGAAACCCCATCTCTAGTAAAAATACAAAAATTAGCCAGGTGTGGTGGTGGGTGCCTGTAGTTCCAGCTACTTGGGAGGCTGAGACAGGAGAATTACTTGAACCCGGGAGGCAGAGGTTGCAGTGAGCCGAGATCGTGCCACTGCACTCCAGCCTGCGTTACAGAGTGAGACTCCGTCCCAAAACACACACACATACACACACACACACACACACACACACACACAACGACAATTAGCCAGGTATGGTGGCACATGCCTCTAATCCCAGCTACTTGGGAGGCTGAAGCATGAGAATGACTTGAATCCGGGAGTCAGAGGCTGTGGTGAGCCAAGATGGCACCACTGCACTCCAGCCTGGATGACAAAGCGAGACTGTCTCCAAAAAAATAATAGAGTTACCGTGTAATCTAGTAATCCAGTTCTAGGTGTATACCTAGCAGAATTTATTTATATAAAAACAGAGAAAAGTATTCATAACAGCATTATTCATAATTGCTAAAATGGAGACGACCCAGATGCCCATCATCTGAATGTATACGCAATATGGTATGTCTATGCAATGGAATGGAGCCATAAAAAGGAATGACGCATTGGCACATGTTAGAACATGGATGGTACTTGAAACATGCTAAGTGGGCTGGGCGCAGTGGCTCATACCTGTAATCCTAGCACTTTTGGGAGGCCGAGGTGGGTGAATCACCTGAGGTCAGGAGTTCAAGACCAGCCTGGCCATCATGGTGAAACCCCATCTTTAAAAAAAATTAAAAAATAAAGAAACATGCTAAGTGTAAGAAGCCAGTCACAAAAGACCACATAGTCATATGATTCCATTTGCGTTAAATGCCCAAAATAGGCAAATCTGTAGAGATAGAAAATAGATCAGTGGTTGCCAGGGGCTGAGTGGGTCTGGGATAGTATGGTGAGTGACTGCTAATGGGTACAGGATTTCTTTTTGAGGGGAGAAAATATTTTAGAATTAAAGAATTAGGTATTGATGATGTGAATATGCTTAAAACCACTGAATTACAAACTTTAAAAGGGTGACTTTATGATACATAAATTCTATCTCAATAAAGCTGTTAAAACCAACTACATCCAATATAGACAGTGCCCCAGAAGACCCCCTCATCTCTCTCCTAATCAACGCTCCAGATTATTCTTGGGGGAAGAATAGCAGCTGTTTCTACTGCTACTGTTTACCTCTCAGAAGGAGCCTTTGTTTTAGACTAGGCATGAAGCTTTATGTTCATAGCACTTGCCAGGCACAGCAGGGAACTTTTTGTAAAGCACCATTTTAATCAAATGCTTCTTTGTAATTCCATGGTGTCAGTGTGACCTACCTTTGGCACCAGTAATTCTTGCCTTTTAAATCAGGTAGCTACGTAATTTTGACCTGCTCTTTTTTATGGAAACAACCTGGACCGTAAAAGTTTTAAAATGCCGCGTGTGTGTATGTGCGTGTGTGCGCGCGCACACACGCACTGTCTTTTATCCACTTCATCAGAGCTGCCCTACAGTCCTCCCCAACTTCCCTCCCCGAGATAGGAGTTTTTAATGCCATCCTTTAGATGAACCACGTAAATTTAAAAAAGAAGCTACACCTAAATGTTTACATGCCTTTAAATATTTCACATGAGATTGGGTGCATTCTGGGTGTTAACGGCTGTAGACAAATATTTCAAACCCAAAGTAAAGTCAATGTTGGTTTTGTGCTTTTCAGTGATGTCTTGGCATTGCCCATTTTCAAGCAGGAAGATTCCAGCCTTCCATTGGATGGTGAAACAGAGCATCCACCCTTTCAGTATGTGATGTGTGCTGCAACGTCGCCAGCAGTAAAACTGCATGATGAAACACTTACTTACTTGAACCAAGGTTAGTGTGGCTATGTTACATTTGACATGTAAGAACTTACAGAAATACAAAATAAATATTTTGGCATTGTAGCCAATATTTATTATTGGTAATAATTAAAAATTAGGATCTTTTTCTTAAATTTTACAACTTAATGAAAATTGTAGGAATTTTACTGTGAGCTGCTGAAGTAATAGTTTGTGTAAACTGGTTTGCATTAAAGAGGGTCTGAAGAGGAATATTTATTACAGGATTTTTAAGACATAATCCAAATGAATAGCAAATAGGAAAGGATGTCAGTTATTTTTAGGGACAGTGATTTCAATATGGAACTTGAGAATGAATCAGAAGTCCAGCTAGCAAGAAACCTGAATTTTAAACATGAAGCACTTATGTGCTGAAAATAGACTTAAGCTGCACCAGGATGGAGTCTGTGGCTAAATAAACAGCATCAAATTTTATCTTCTATATCGTTTGTACTTTATGTCAGAGTGTTACGTTTCAGTGATATGAAACGGATGGTGGGGAAGGAGGGAGAATAGAGATGTGGGGGTAGAGTTTACTCTTTTTTTTTTGGATACTGAATTTTGCTCTATCGCCCAGGCTTGAGTGCAGTGGCGCAATTTCAGCTCACTGCAACCTCCGCCTCCTGGGTTAAAGCAATTCTCATGCCTCAACCTCCCCAGTAACTGGGATTTCAGGCAAGCACCACCATGCCCAGCTAATTTTTTGTATTTTTAGTAAACAGGGTTTCACCATGTTGACTAGGCTGATCTTGAACTCCTGACCTCAGGTGATCCATCTGCCATACCCAGCTGAGTTTATCTTTGGAAAGAGGAGAGATTGCTGTTTGGAGTTTGGGCGCAGGCTGATGTGACTTATCACTGTAAACAAAAGTACTTGGAATGCAGGGATTAATTTGTTGGATACATATACTGAAAGCACATTGAATTCTGATTTAAAAATTTTTTTTGAGCCGGGCGCGGTGGCTCAAGCCTGTAATCCCAGCACTTTGGGAGGCCGAGGTGGGTGGATCACTAGGTCAAGAGATCGAGACCATCCTGGTCAACATGGTGAAACCCCGTCTCTACTAAAAATACAAAAAACATTAGCTGGGCATGGTGGCGCGTGCCTGTAATCCCAGCTGCTCAGGAGGTTGAGGCAGGAGAATTGCCTGAACCCAGGAGGCGGAGGTTGCGGTGAGCCGAGATCGCGCCATTGCACTCCAGCCTGGGTTACAAGAGTGAAACTCCGTCTCAAGAAAAAAAAAACAAAAAAAAAAACAAAAAAAAATTTTTTTTGAACATTTTTACTGTTTTATGCTCATTGTAGAAAAACTGGGAAATATGTGAAGGGATAATGCTGAAAATTGACTCACATTTTTGGTCAGTTTCTTGCCTGTATGTACATTTTCTTTCAAAAAATTAGAATTATACATTTGTTCACTTAAAAGTATATAGTGTTTATTTTTCTGTCATTAAATCCTAGCATTTATCATCTTGACCAAAAGTTTTAAACCCAAGATTTTCCATAAATTCTTAAACTAGTTTTAAAATTTTCTGTATGTGTATATTTCCTTCCTTCCCCTTCCTTCCTTTCGCTCTCTGCTCCCTTTCTCTTCCCCCCTTTCTCCCTCCTTTCTCCTCTCCCTCTTCCCCTCCCTCCCATTTCCCTCTTTTTGGTCTTGCTCTGTCAACCACACTTGAGTGTAGTGGCACAATCATGGCTGATTGCAGCTGTGACCTCCCAAGCTAAAGTGATCCTCCCACCCTAGACTCCTGAGTAGCTCTGACTATAGGCACAGGCCACCATACCTGGCTAATTTTTTAAAAAAAAATTTTGTTAGAGATGGGGGGTGGGTCTCACTATTCATTGCCTACACTAGTCTCCAACTCCTGGGCTCAAGCCATCTTCCTGCCTCGGCCTCCCAAAGTTCTGGGATTACAGGCATGAACCACTGGGCCTCGCCTTTTTTCTCCCTCCCTCCCTCCCTCCTTTCTTTCCCTTTCCTTTCTTTCTTTCTTTTCTTCTTTTTTTGGAGATAGGATCTCGCTATGTTGCCCAGGCTGTTTTTGAACTCCTGGGCTCAAGCGATTCTCTTGCCTCAGGCCCCCTGAGTAGCTGAGACTACAGGTGTGTGCCACCAGGATTGGACCAGACTGAGACATTGCTTAGTATTTTTCACCCTACCTCTTTGTCTACTGAATAATAGAAGCTTACTAATTTAAACTATTAAGACAAACACCCAGACCTAGTAAAGTATCTTCAGCTTACTAGACTTGCTTTTCTTTTTGTATTTTATTTTATTTTTTGAGATAGTATCTCAGTCTGTCTCCTAGCCTGGAGTGCAACGATGCAATCTTGGCTCACTGCAACCTCTGCTACCCAGGCTCTAGTGATTCTCCTGCCTCAGCCTCCAGCAATTCTCCTGCCTCAGCCTCCAGAGTAGCTAGGACTATGCACAAGCCACCATGCGTGGCTAATTTTTGTATTCTTAGTAGAGATGGGGTTTCACCATGTTGGTCAGGCTGGTCTCAAACTCCTGGTTTCAAGTGATCCACCCACCATGGCTTCTCAGAGTGCTGGGATTACAGGTATGATGGTCATTACAGGTGTGACGCCCAGCTGAAATGGTCATTCTTGATGAAAAATATTTGCCACTATGTAATGCTCTAAAGAATAGTAAAAATAAAATTCTGTGTAGTCTTCACTTTGTCAGTAGAAATTAGAGCAAGTTTTTCTAGTTGTATTAAAGTCTTGTGTCATTTTTTGTATTATTTTTGAACCACAGAGGGACCAAGTTTAAAAACTGCATTTGTGTTTAAGTCTGGGTGCGGTGGCTCATGCCTGTAATTCCAGCACTTTGGGAGGCCGAGGTGGACAGATCACCTGAGGTTAGGAGTTCAAGACCAGCCTGGCCAAAATGGAGAAACCCAGTCTCTACTAAAAATAGAAAATTAGCCAAGCGTGGTGGTGCATGCCTGTAGTTCCAGCTACTTGGAAGGCTGAGGCAGGAGAATCTCTTGAACCTGGGAGGTGGAGGTTGCAGTGAGCCTAGATCGTACCACTGCACTCCAGCCTGGGTGACAGGAGCAAAACTCGGTCCCCCTCACCCACCCCTGAGAAAAAGCAACTTGTATTTGTGTTTGCTTGGTTACTCCTGAATAAGAAGAGGAATTAAGTCCCTGACTTTACTGTGGAGTAAAAACTGTAGTCCCAACATGGAGCAACCAATGGGTGGAGAATTCGTAGCTGGCTCTCCCTTTGGGCAGGGATCTGGCTGGAATAGGATGCCTTTTGTCTGAACAACTAGGGGCTGAGCACACCTCATGATAATGAGTGAGACTTTTGATCTTACCTCCTTTCGGACTCCAAATTGCCTGCATTGCTGCTGCTAGATCAGCCCCTAACTCTTCAAATGAAAAGAGTTTCTCCTAGTTACTCCCAAATACATTTTCATTTGGAGGCTGAATTCTACTTGGAGAATACTCTGCTAAGAATGTTAATTAACACACCTGTAATCCCAGCACTTTGGCAGGCCAAAGCCGGCAGATCATCTGAGGTTGGGAGTTCGATACCAGCCTGGCCAACATGGTGAAACCCCGTCTCTACTAAAAATACAAAAATTAGGGCCGGGCGCGGTGGCTCAAGCCTGTAATCCCAGCACTTTGGGAGGCCGAGGCGGGTGGATCACGAGATCAAGAGATCGAGACCATCCTGGTCAACATGGTGAAACCCCGTCTCTACTAAAAATACAAAAAATTAGCTGGGCATGGTGGCGCGTGCCTGTAATCCCAGCTGCTGGGGAGGCTGAGGCAGAAGAATTGCCTGAACCCAGGGAGCGGAGGTTGCGGTGAGCCGAGATCGCGCCATTGCACTCCAGTGTGGGTAACAAGAGCGAAACTACGTCTCAAAAAAAATAAATAAAAAAAAAAAAAAAAAAAAAAAAATACAAAAATTAGCCAAGTATGGTGGCACACACCTGTAATCCCAGCTGCTTGGGAGGGTGAGACATGAGAATCTCTTGAGTCTGGGAGATGTAGGTCGCAATGAGCCGAGATTGCACCACTATACTCCCACCGGGGCAATAGACTGAGACGTTCTCAAAAATAAAAATAAAAATAAAAAAAAATAAAAAGAATGTTAATTAAAATTCAGATCTTAGGCCCTAGAAACAGCATGTTTATTGGATTAAGAATTCCATTAAATGTTTCAGAAATTTTTTTTTGTTTAGTTTCATTTTTCATAATAGATTTCCTTCTGATTAGTTTCAGTTCTTGTTACTAAGGTTTTATGATAAGAATAGGAGTTGCCGGGCGCGGTGGCTCAAGCCTGTAATCCCAGCACTTTGGGAGGCCGAGGCGGGTGGATCACGAGGTCAAGAGATCGAGACCATCCTGGTCAACATGGTGAAACCCCGTCTCTACTAAAAATACAAAAAAAAATTAGCTGGGCATGGTGATGCGTGCCTGTAATCCCAGCTACTCAGGAGGCTGAGGCAGGAGAATTGCCTGAACCCAGGAGGCGGAGGTTGCGGTGAGCCGAGATCGCGCCATTGCACTCCAGCCTGGGTAACAAGAGCGAAACTCCGTCTCGGGGGAAAAAAAAAAAAGAATAGGAGTTTAGAAATAAGGTGGGTTGGGACTCCATGCTTGGATCCCCTTCCACGAACATTTCCTTTGTGGAAGCCATCTTTGTCGCTCCGGGATTTTCTCTCTAGAGTCCCCTTCCATGAACACTCCCTTCATGGAAGCCTATGTTCCCCTCCTAAACTCCATCTCTCTCTCTGTTCCCTTCCACTCAGTGTGGAAGCTGCTTTCCTCTCCTGGGTTCTGTCTTTCTGGATTCTGTCATTCATTGTGAGAGTTAGCGGTTTCTTTCTCTCTCCTCCTGTTTATCTCTCTCTTAAATAAATAAATCACTTTAAAATAAACAAATAAATAAGGTGGGGTTTTTTTAGACTCTAAGATTAAAAAACAAAATCAAAAAAAAATGTGCCTATTTCTTTTTTTTTTTTTTTTTTAATTTTAGATGGAGCCTCGCTCTGTCGCCAGGCTGGAATGCAGTGGCGCAATCTCGGCTCACTGCAACCTCTCCCTCTCGGGTTCCAGCGATTCTCCCGCTTCAGCCTCCCGAGTAACTAAAAATACAAGATTAGCTGAGTGTGGTGGTGCGTGCCTGTAAGCTACTCAGGAGGCTGAGGCAGGAAAAAACAAGAGAATATAATAGTTTCCAATAGGGAAACCACTTGAAGCATTACAAATGTTACAGAGCCTTTTCTTTCTTTCTTTTTTTTTTTTTTTGAGATGAAGTTTTGCTCTTGTTGCCCAGGCTGGAGTGCAATGGCACAAACTTGGCTCACTGCAACCTCTCCCCCTTGGGTTCAAGCAATTCTCCTGCCTCAGTCTCCCCAGTAGCTGGGATTACAGGCATGCACCACCACACCAGGCTAGTATTTTGTTTTGCTTTGTTTTGTGTTTTTGAGATGGAGTCTAGCTGTGTTTCCCAGGCTGGTGTACAGTGGCATGATCTTGGCTCACTGCAACCTCCGCCTCCCAGGTCAAGTGATTCTCTTGCCTCAGCCTTCCGAGTAGCTGGGATTACAGGCATTCACCACCACACCCAACTAATTTTTGCATTATTAGTAGAGATAGCGTTTCATTGTGTTGGCCAGGCTGGTGTCGAACTCTTGACCTTGTGATCTGCCTGCCTTGGCCTCCCAAAGTGCTGGGATTACAAGTGTGAGCCACTGCACCTGGCCTAATTTTGTATTTTTAGTAGAGACGGAGTTTCTTCCTGTTAGTTAGGCTGGTCTCGAACTCCTGACCTCAGGTGATCTGTGTGCCTCTGCCTCCCAAAGTGCTGGGATTACAGGTGTGAGCCACCGTGCCCGGCAAGACTTTTCTTTTTAAAGTTAATTTATTAGAAGAGTCTTTTCTAAAAACCCACTTTGATTTTAGAAGAATAAAAATTTAGAGTGCTTTAAGAAAGAAGCAATAAGTCTTGTGATCTATGTGTGGAAATAGATGGAACTATGTGTGGAAATAGATGGAAGGGCTCTTCAGAGTACAGATGTTTCCTCCTTAGATTGGCCAAGAAAAATAGCACAAAAGAAGACAGAAACATTGAGATTTCTTCCTGATTTCTTTCAATTCTGAGAATGAGAAGAAAATCCCAGTAAGACAAATTTTCTTCCCTTCCTTGGTAGCCAGATGAAAGGAAGGGTTTCCAGGACCCTGTGCAATTTGTCCACCTCCCACCTCTCTGATTGCTTTCCTCTGGATTACTCTCATCATGTCAGGAGACTGCTTTGGCCCTTTTCTCTTTACACTCACTGCTTAGGTGATCCTGTCTTTAAATGGGTTTATCTAACAACTGTACCCTGAAGAGCCCTTCATTAATATCTCCAACCATACTCTTTCTTGTAGCTCTAGATTTATAAATCAGCTTGATTATTAACTTGGATATCCTGTAAGTATCTCAGTCAGACTTAATATATTCAGTTAACTCTTGATTTTTTTTTTTTTTTTTGAGATGGAATCTTGCCCTGTCACCCAGGCTGGAGGGCAGTGATACGATCTCGGCTCACTGCAACCTCTGCCTCCTAGGTTCAAGTGATTCTCCTGCGGCAGCCTCCCGAGTAGCTGGGATTACAGGTGCCCACCACCATGCCTGGCTAATTTTTTTGTATTTTTAGTAGAGACAGGGTTTCACCATATTGACCAGGAAGGTTTGAAACTCCTGACCTCAAGTGATCTGCCCACCCTGGCCTCCCAAAGTGCTAGGATTACAGGTGTGAGTTATGGCACCCAGCCAACTCTTGATTTTTCTGCTTCCGGCTGTCTTTGAGGTCAGGAAATGGCAACTCTTCTTTAATTCTTTGACCAAAAATCAGGAGTAATCCTCAACTCTTCTTTCTGTTACACTTTATATCTAATACAGCAGAAAACTGAGGGATTTATGCTGATCTGATAGGCGAAAAAGGATTTCAGTGTGGTTTAATTTGCATTTCTCTAATGGAAGTTGAGTGTTTTTTAATGTGTTTAAGAACCATTGGCATTTCCTTCTTTTGTGAACTCACATGTTCATTTGTTTTGCTCATTTATTTTCCTCTCTAGAGATACTGGACATTTGTTAGCAATTTTATAGGAGCTCTTTATGTATTGGGGAGATTAGCCCTTTGTGTGTAATGCCACTTGCAGATATTCCCTGTTTCACATTAATTTGTCTTGACCAATCAGAATCTCTGAGTCAAAGGGTATAGTAATTTGTTGACAGGTGCAGCCAGATTGCCTTTTAGTTTATATTCTGTACATTATTCAAGGTTATTTCTCCCCCATACTTGCCCACTCAATTTTTAATTAAATACTTCTTATGGCCGGGTGCAGTGGCTCACGCCTGTAATCCCAGCACTTTGAGAGGCCAAGGCAGGTGGATCACCTGAGGTAAGGAGTTCAAGTCCTGCCTGGCCAACATGGTGAAACCCTGTCTCTACTAAAAAATAATACAAAAATGAGCCGGGCATGGTGGTGGACACCTGTAATCCTAGCTGCTCGGGAGTCTGAGGTAGGGAGAATTGCTTGAACCTGGGAGGTGAAGGTTGCAGTGAGCAACACAGCGAGACTCCATGTCAAAAAAAAATAGTAATAAGTAAATATTTCTTATTGATCTGCTAATCAGCATAACCCTTTTGTCAATTTTTATTTCCTAAATTCTTGTGAAGTTGAGTGTAATTTTAAATATAAATGGTGTATTTTTTTTTTTTTTTTTTTTTTTTTTTTTGAGGCATAGTCTCACTCCATCATCAGGCGCCAGGGTGGAGTGCAGTGGCGTGACCTCGGCTCACTGCAACCTCCACCTCCCGGGTTCCAAGCAATTCTCCTGCCTCAGCCTCCCAAGTAGCTGGGACTACAGGCGCGTGCCACCATGCCCAGCTAATTTTTTTGTATTTTTAATAGAGATGGGGTTTCACCAAGTTGGCCATGATGGTCTTGATCTCTTGACCTTGTGATCCGCCCGCCTCGGCCTCCCAAAGTGCTGGAATTACAGGTGTGAGCCACCGTGCCTGGCCCAAATGGTATATTTTTAAAAAAAAATTTATATTCTTTATTTTGAAAATTATTTCTTACTGTTTTCAGAATTTAGATCCATTGTTAAATATACTGCATATATCTTCTTCCAATCTATGTCTTACTTTAATTTTTTAAAAATGTCTCCTGCCATAAAGGTGTTTTTAGTGTTTCTCTGTCTGTTGGATGAATGTAAGCAATATTTCTTTGTAACAGACTATATATATATTGTTTTCCGTCACCAGCCTTGGAGTGATGTAGTTGCATTTTGATAACCCTTTGTTGAATTTTGATTCTGTCATCTAGAATTCTTTGTATATTTTTCTGTAAGCCCCATGGGAGTATGAATGAGATACTGGTAGTAACAAAGAATCTCAACTTCGTGTGATATTATAAGCATTCTTTAATTTTTACTGATTTTCTGCATGCCAAATTATACTATCATTTTTGTTTAATAACAGATAATCCAGAAATTATTTTTGTAGATTTGGAGTACATTATTAATTTTCTTACAGCAGCATTTTCCCAATTATCTAGATTGATATGTGAATATCTGTGTTTTCTAATGAACACTGTAAGTGGAAACAACCCAAATATCCATCAACTGATGAATGGATAAACAAAATTTGGTATGTTCTTCACACAGTGGAATAGTATTAGGCAATAAAGAGGAATAAGTAGTATTTGGTAGTGAAAAGGACTGGTACATACTACGTATGGATGAACCTTGAAAACGTTATGCTAAGTTTTAAAAGTGAGGCGTAAATACCTACATATTGTGTAATTCTATTTATAAAAGTATGCAGATGGGCAAATCCGTAGAGATGGAAAGTAGATAGTGATTGCTACCAATTGGCAGGTGTAGAAGGGGGATGGAAACTACTGATGTTTATAGGTTTCTTCTTAGGATAGTGGTAGTGGTGATGGTTGCAATGGAAACTATCTGACTATACTGAAAACTAATGAATTACACACTTTTTTAAAATACGAATTTTATGGTATGTAAACTGTATCTCAGAAAAGCTGTTAGAAAAGTTAGTCTTAGATAATGCAGGCATAATAAAAATTTAGTGTAAGAGAATGGCAGATGAAGATAAATTGACAGAGAAACTCTTGTCTTCTGTAGTAATGTAAAAACAGAAGGTTGGTGTGATTTTCAGGAGAACGATCAACCTGAATTTGCTTCTTTAGTAAATTAACAAATATCATTGTGTAATGTATGTTCTGAGAAACATACATTATGAATTATGTTAAGCAAAGTGATGTTCTTTATATGGATCATTTTTTATACACAATTTCTTTGAATAGGTCAGTCTTACGAAATTCGGATGCTAGATAATCGGAAAATGGGTGATATGCCTGAGATCAGTGGAAAATTAGTAAAGGTAAGGACAATCCATTTTAATTCCCAACAGATACTGTATTTGTTTTAAAAAAATTAATTTCACTTCAAAAATTGTTGTATTAAAACTTTTTAACTTTTTGAGCTATATTTTGTTTATTCACCTGTAAAGTGGGAATTACGGCAGTTATCGGGTAGAATAATTGTGACAGACATTGGAAATCAAGGAGCAGTAGAAAAGTTAGTTGCAGTTATGGGGTAAAAAACTTACCACCACAACAAAAAACTATAAGCCTCTCTAAAAGTAAAAGATAATATGAGTCCTACAAATTTCTCTCACATTAGCCTCTTTTTAAAACTGTTTCAAAGAAAAATATTCTACTTTTAATTGACTGCCCCTTCAACATACTTATCAACTGTGGATAGTATTTGAGGGGTGGGAGAAGCAGGGTACTAAAGTCATATTTTTATATATTGTTAACAAATAATTTCCTGTTCAAGCCAGCAGAGACTCAATGAAAATATTAACTGTATCATAGTCTCAGAAAGTTATTTATAAATGTTTCAGAAGCATTAGTACAAGTCTGATATCTGAATGCATTTTTTTTTTAGATGAAGTCTTGCTCTCTCACCTAGGCTGGAGTACAGTGGCGTGATCTTGCTCACTGCAACTTCTGCCTCCCAGGTTCAAGTGATTCTCCTGCCTCAACTGGGATTACAGGCATATGCCACCATGCCCAGCTAATTTTTGTGTTTTTAGTAGAGACGGGATTTTACCATGTTTGCCAGGTTGGTCTTGAACTCCTGACCTCAAGTGATCCACCTACCTCAGCCTCCCCAAGTGCTGGGATTATAGGCATGAGTCACTGTGCCTGGCCTATCTGAATGCATTTTGATGACTTGTTATACCGTTCCTGGAATGAGACAGTATTTGGTACTCCAAACCTGTAGGAAGTGAAGTAGGCAGGGGTGGAGAGCAGAGAATTTGTCTAGAAGTTGTAGAATAGAGTGAAATGAGTGTTTGGATCAAATTTACCTGTGATTATTTTTCCCCCTCAGATACTTCAGATAATCTTACTTGCAGATTAAATAGTTGAGAATGAATTTTGCATATACGTTCTCTTTTTCAAGGGAGCGGGCAGTGTTTTGGATTTTTGTTTGTGCCAGTTCTTTTCTTAAAAACTCAGTAGTTAACTACTATTTTAAATTAATAAAGTTTTACCATTGTGCCTGGGTTTCTCGGTCTGTTTTTTCATTTTTAATAACTCTTGTATGCATTTGGCATTTTCTTTATAGGAATAGAAATTTCACTCATTGATTTTTGGGGCAAGATTGCTGAATTGCAATAACAAGTTACTTTATAAAATCAATACCTAAGTAATCATTTATGATTTTAATTTTTAAGTTATAACTCTTTGCACCAAATAATTGTACAGTAATCTAGGTATTTGAGGGCAGAAGAGTTCACTTATGGAATGTTTAAAACAGAATCTGCTTGTATATGCTCTGCTGCTACAGGTTAGCACATAAATAGTGGAAATGCTTCTGCATTTCAGCTGGAGCTGTTTAAAAATACTCTTTTTCCCCACTTATTCTACAGAGCATCATAAGGGTTGTATTCCATGACAGACGGCTACAATACACAGAGCATCAGCAACTTGAAGGATGGAAGTGGAATCGCCCAGGAGACAGACTTCTTGATTTAGGTACAGGTGGTGATCAGAAGACCATGGAGATGAGGATATTGTTTAGCCAAGCCCAGTAATGTGTTGTGTTGGCATCATGTGTTATTACTTGTGTGGGGAAAGTTTTAGGATCTTGTGCCTTGGGAGTTGTTTTCTGTACACACACACACACACACACACACACACACACACACACACACACACACGCATGTATGTAAGTATATATTTTTTCTTTTTCTTTTTTTCCCCATCCTTGTATTATAAAGAACCGAGAAAGTTGTTTTCTAGTTAAAAAGTCAAGTAACTTTTTGGTGCTAAACTAACACGAACCCGGAATTTTATGATTTCGAAATCATTTAATTCTCAACTGGTACCATCGATCATATTCTTTTTTTGAGAAGGAATCTCACTCTGTTGCCCAGGCTGGAGTGTAGTGGCGCAGTCGGCTCACTGCAACCTCCACCTCCCAGGTTCAAGCGATGCTCGTGCCTCAGCCTTCCGAGTAGCTGGGATTATAGGCATGCACCACTGCGTCCAGCTAATTTTTGTATTTTTAGTAGAGGCGGGGTTTCAGCATGTTGTCCAAGTGGGTCTCAAACTCCTGACCTCAGGTGATCCGCCTGCCTTGGCCTCCCAAAGTGCTGGGATTACAGGTGTGAGCCCCCATGCCTGGTTTTATCATATTCTTAATAACATGAAATATAAACCATGGTAGGAGAAACTATGATACTCATTTGGGTGGGTTTTGATATTGAAGTTGATCATGGAGGCCATTGAAGGACAAAGTTCAAAGTAGTTACAATTGTTTCATTAGAACATAACATAGTAAAGTTGTAAGTTTTTAAGTTATTTAAAGTGTATGAGTTTTTATGTAACTTCTTTTTAAAACATAGATATTCCAATGTCTGTGGGAATAATTGACACAAGGACAAATCCAAGCCAGTTAAATGCGGTTGAATTTCTGTGGGACCCAGCAAAACGCACCTCTGCTTTCATTCAGGTTTGGATTTTTACATTATTAAAAGCATGCTAACCTAGTTATGTAGGTCATGGCAGGATCGAATTTTTGACCTGGTATCATTTCCCTTAAATGCTTATCTGTAAACTGTGTTGTGGTGTCTGTCTATATACATAGTTAGGTTTAATCTAGTAAGTTCATTCTCTTATAGACTGACATATGTGAAGACATTCTATGATATGTAAAGCATTATTCAAATGTTATTTTTACCACTAGTAGTCCCACTAATAAAAATGACTATTTTTCATGAGGTGTATTTCTCTTGAACAAAAGCTGCCATTCAAAAGTATATGATTGAGAAAAGATTGAAGTTTTAAAATTCCCTGTAGCATTATTTTAAAAACATTCTAATACTGAAAAATTCAAACTTCCATAAATAGAATAATAATGACGATTAATTGTCCATGTAACCATCACCTGGCTTTAGCAGTTTTTAGCTGTTTCCTTCTTCTTTCAGTTATTGTTGGAGTACTTTTTCTTTTTGAGATGAGTTTCGTTCTGTCACCTGGGCTGGAGTGCAGTGGCATGACCTCCGCTTACTGCAGCTTCCGCCTCCCAGGTTCAAGCAATTCTCATCCCTCAGCCTCCGAGTAGCTGGGATTACAGGTGTGCACCACAATGCCCAGCTAATTTTTGTATTTTTAGTAGAGACAGGGGTTTTACCATGTTAGTCAGGCTGGTCTTGAACTCCTGACCTCAAGTGATCTGCCTGCCTTGTCCTCCTAAAGTGCTGGGATTACAGGTGTGAGCCACCATGCCCGGCCTATTGAAGTACATTAAAGCAAGTTTCAGACATACCATTTCATCCATAAACATGTCTTTAAGAGATGATTTTTAAAAAGTAATGATAATATCATTATTGTATGTTAACAAAAATAGTAATTCTAATACCCAGTATGTTCAAATTTGTATGTGGTAGAATTTAAACTACCAGGTAAGAGGAAAACCACTTACTTGCTGACCAGCCTACATCAGCTATGCTTTGCATGAACTGTAAAAAATAATTTGTAGGCTGGGCGCAGTGGCTCAAGCCTGTAATCCCAGCACTTTGGGAGGCCGAGGCGGGTGGATCACGAGGTCAAGAGATCGAGACCATCCTGGTCAACACGGTGAAACCCCGTCTCTACTAAAACTACAAAAAATTAGCTGCGCATGGTGGTGCGTGCCTGTAATCCCAGCTACTCAGGAGGCTGGGCAGGAGAATTGCCTGAACCCAGGAGGCGGAGGTTGCGGTGAGCCGTGATCGCGCCATTGCACTTCAGCCTGGGTAACATGAGTGAAACTCCGTCTCAAAAAAAAAAATAAATAATAATAATAATTTGTATTTTGCATTTTGGTGTTCTACCAAGTGTTATGCTCCATCAATTAATAATCACTAGAGGCATGGTTTATATCAGCTGAATATTGATATAAACTCATACTGTTGGTTTTTGTCTATAAGGCAACTAGTTATGTAGTAAATCAAAGTGATACAAGACCTGGCTTTACATCTCAGGTTGTGTTGTTATATTGCAGAGATCAGTTTTAATAATCATTAGAAGAGGGAACGTGTAGCAGTCAGAAATAACCAAAGTCTTACGAGTAACTCTTTGTGAAACCCTAAGGCTGTCATCCAGGGTGGGTTTTAGGAGATAGGGCAGAAGTGGTAGAAATGAGTATTGCCCTCTGCATCCTGAATGGACTTTGAAGAGTTAACCATAGATTTTAGGTGGATACAGATAGGATGAGTAGTAGGCTTTCTGGACTGTGAAATTTCCCCAGGCAAAGTATCACAAATTGGTGTCTGTAGGAATGGCAGTAAGATGGTTGGCTGGGTAGAGCAGGGGTAATGGCAGTAGAGGGCAAACAAACATCTCTAAATAATGAGATGAAGATTGCTGTGGCTTGAACAGGGCTTACGACCCTGGGTCTGAGATTAGCAGGCAGTCCGAGGTGGAGGTAGGCAGTATACATGGGAAGCTACTGTAGTGTTGTATCCCAGATTGAAGCAAGTCCTGCATTAAATGAGAGGCGTTGTGTTGGGCAGGAGCTCAGAAAGGCTCAGTTGGATATGTGAAAGGGAAGCCATATCTTAAAAACAATTAGAGAAGGTCATAGTAGATGATTTGGGTAATATGTGTGACGAGTTCATTTTAAAGGATCTTGAATTTAATATATAGTGGTGGCAGGTCACCCAAGAGGGAACAAAATCAAAAAATAATCAGTGGAAGGTCTTTGAATCCATTTCAGCTTGAATCGTTTTATAGGTGCACTGCATCAGCACAGAATTTACTCCACGGAAGCACGGAGGTGAAAAGGGAGTGCCCTTTAGGATCCAGGTTGACACCTTTAAGCAGAATGAAAATGGGGAATACACAGATCATCTACACTCAGCTAGCTGCCAAATAAAAGTTTTTAAGGTAAGAGAGGGAACCTGGGTTTTCAGTAATTAAGGCCTGTAAAGCTGTGTGTCTACAGCCTGCTGGATGACATAATATCTTTTGTTTTTAAGCCTAAAGGTGCAGACAGGAAACAAAAAACTGACAGAGAGAAGATGGAAAAGAGAACAGCTCATGAAAAAGAAAAGTATCAGCCATCTTATGATACCACTATCCTCACAGAGGTAATGTAATACATAAAGCATTTGGTTTTGGAAGAGAAGCAAAGGTTTGCATATTAGTCTATTTCTAAGATGCGTTTTGTTACAAAAGGGTTGGGGAAGATGGGGTGGCAGTTTGACATGATATTCTCTGTGAAATTTGTGGGGAAAATACTTAAATTTGGGGATTTGATAGACTGTTTCCTGGGTGGGATCTTAAATGAAGATGCTGAAATCCCAATGAGGTCTTTGAAACAGACCTTAAAAACTTTGCAGTTGGCAAGAGACTTAAGTTGGGGCCTAGAATGTCCAATTTTTATCACTGCTGGGGTTTTGCATTTTCTTTAATTTTGACTCCTCTTAGTCATGCATTTGTTTAATTGGACTGCAGAGACATGAAACAGGGTATTAGATCTTTCTTTGTATAATGAAAAGACATTGATCCCAATCTTTGGTGTTTGTCCAGATGAGGCTTGAGCCTATAATTGAAGATGCAGTTGAACATGAGCAGAAAAAGTCCAGCAAGCGGACTTTGCCAGCAGACTACGGTGATTCTCTGGCAAAGCGAGGCAGTGTAAGGGACTTCTGCTTCTCTTTTCATTGTGCAAGAAACCTTGTGCAGTGTTAGATATAGGACCAACTTCTACCGCAAAGTAAAGCCAAAATTGTTTTCGATGTCCATGTCTTGATTTAATTTGCTTTTGTTTAGACTTCCTGCTTCTGTTTGTTCCTCACTGAGGAAAATTTCCTAAATCTAACACTTTAAAACAAACCAAAAACAATGTTGACCATATTGGGTGGTTTTGGAGGGAAAAAAAGAGACACTCAGAGAGATATGCATTCCCTCCCTGACTCCTTCCCTTCCTCCTTCCCTTCCTCTCTCCTTCACACACATACCTCCTTCAAGAGCACTGAAATTAATTGAAAATACTTTCTTTAGTAAATTAGCTATTATTTTTGTGTAATTGAAAAGAGTTTTGCCTTCTCATGTGTATACTTGATAAGAAAGTTTTGTGGACAGAGAAATAATGGCAGCAAGCTTGACATTAACATGTGCAGTTCTTTGTCACATTTTTCTGCATGTAGCATAAGAATGTATGTCTGTCTGTGCTTCTAAAAGCCTGTTTGGCAGCACTGGTAGAAAAAAATCTCTGATGGCATTCATGTTTCTTCTTGGCACTTGCATTGTGAATGAATGCTTCAGGCCAAAGTAGTGTACCTTGCTACACTTAGACCTGGATCCCCCCAACATGCAGTCAGGGGGCATCTAGTTGAGTATGTGCTTTGTCAGGTTAAGTCTAGCAAATCTTTATTTCATGGCATGACTCTTCAGATGAAGAGTCCACAAAGGATGATCCTGTTTTGCAAACTTAGATCAGCTACATACCTTCAGTAAATACAAACACAGAATGTTAGTCATTTAAAATAATTGTCGTCATATGTATTCATGACTACCGTATTCATTGTTGCAATGTTTGTACTATTAAGGTTGCCAGAGGATTTTTCACTCTTACACATATCACAATTACTGTGGTTAAATGTAGACTTTGAGTGTTGCTGTCACAAGCATTATCACAAGAAACTCATTTTCAAATTACAGTCTTGAATAAAAATGTTTTCATGCTTCTCTATGCAGTGAAACTGAAACTGTACTCATCTCAGTGCCACTGGAAGCACACATGTTACATTTTCTTTAACTGGGCTTTTTTTTTTTTTCTTATTAAATCAAGGATTGTTAAAATAGCTGTATTTCCTTTCCTAAAACACCCACTACAGCAATTTTGTTTTTATCCTTTTCTGATTTCCCAGCTGAAGACCCATCAATGGTTCTTAGTAAACTTCTTTGGGGGGATTTTAATAACTCACTTTTCCCCTCCTGTTATAAACCATTTAATTGATAAAGAAGTGGGTTCTGGTAATTCCCAAATAAAAAAAATTCATTATAGCCCAGAGATAATCTGAAGATGGGAAAGTTGTTGGTGAATTCTTAACGATTCTTAAGTCTAAAGTATGCAAAACGTCAGCAGTTCACTGGCCTGGGATTTCACATCTTCCTAGTGTATTGCTTGCTGCCCTGGCAGTCTTTGATTTTGTTCAGATGCTTCTAGGGGTGGTTAGAGCTCATGTTGAAAACCTGTTTTTAAAAAAGCAGGGGACAGATTGATCCCTTACAAAAGAAAGTTTGCAGTATTTCATATGTTTCTTCAGATTCCTACAAAGGAAGACCAACATTTCGTAGAGTTTTTGGCTAGTTACAACTGGCTTTCAGTAAGAAGGGATATCCAGACTTATTGTTAGAGTTGAAAATATGCCAAATTAAATGGTCCCAGACTGAATAGTCACTACTGTTGCTTACCAGGAGATGAACAAAACACTTACTGTGTCTGTTGGTCTTCATCTCTGAGCTGTATGTGATTGGCTCAAACAATGACTGCCAATTTCTACAGCCTAAAATGGGTGATCATTCTTTAATCTACCAGGGGAGGGACTGTGTTCACAGTGTACTGAAACAACTATACCCAGGCCAGGCATTGCTAGTGCCGTTATGAATTACACTCTATCTTCAGGAGCATATGCGCTGCACCATTGCTTAGTTTTAATAGGACTATTTTTTTAATGTTAGAAGAATCTAAATATCTAAAAGCGAAATGGGTATTTATGGAATTTTGGTAAACTTGATGTTTCCACCTTACTCTGCCATGCTAACTTGAAGCTTTTCGATGGCTTCATTTCTGGCTGGCAGTAATCACCAAAAGTTTAGAGAGACTTGATACTTTTAATATTAAATGGTTACATTATTTAGATGTATATGTTATACTGTGTTATAATATTTTATATGTGGAGGGGGATGTTGTAGCAGGAAAAGCTTTCAGATAGTAGAGATGAGGTGACAGTGTGTGATACCCATGATTAGATTTGCTTGTCAGCTCACAGGGTCTTGGGTTCATCAAACAGTGTAAACTGAAGACATGCTATTTTGTAAGATGGAATGCAAAACAAGGGTCTAGTTTTTTTGTCTTTTTGTTTTTTTTGAGATGGGCTCTTACTGTGTTGCCCAGGCTGGCCTCAAACTCCTCAAGCAGTCCTCCTGCCTCAGACTCCTGAGTAGTTGGACTACAGGTGTGTGTGTGCCATCACACTCGGCCTAAAAGGCCCTAATTTTAAAAGAATGGGCATTGCTCTGTAAAATGTCATTTATAGTGAAGTTGGTATGCCATGCAATAAGTTTATCAAAGCTCTCCAGCTAGATTAGACTTACTTTTTGAAAGTTGACTGATAATAGAAATAGCAAGTCCGCAATCATTTTTCTCATTTTTAAGGGGATACATAATTGGGTAGTTGAGATTATTTTCCATTTATCCATTGCTTTTGATGAATGTCAGGCAAGTTTTTTAAGCCCCTGTAACCATTGGTGAGACTTAATTTCTGCCCTCAGAGTGCTTCACAGTTTTTTAGCTCCATTATACCAGTGGTCTTGACACTTACCTACTCAAAATAGTCTTTAAATTTTTTTAGAGAGTGTCTTGTCTAGTCACCTGGGCCTGGAATGCAGTGGTGTGATCAAAGCTTATTGCAGCCTCAAACTCCTTGGCTCAAATGATCCTCCCACCTCAGCCTCCTCAGTAGCTGGGACTACAGGTGCACACCACCACGCCTGACTACTTTTTAAATTTTGTTTTTGTTGAGACAGTTCTTGCTGTGTTCCTCAGGCTGATCTCCAATTCCTGGCCTCAGAATGACCCTCCCACCTTGACCTTCCAAAGTGCTGGGATTACAGGCATGAGACACCATGCCTGGCCTCAAAATAATTTTGAAAAAGGATATGCTTACACCTTACCAAATTGACATCTGAAAGTTTTCATCATAAAAAATTTTCATTATAAATTTAACTAGTTACAAAGGAAGCAATTTTCTGGCATGGTGGCAGTTTGCATTTATAATTTAAGATACAACTGTTACATTACTCTTGAAGTGCATCCTATGGAATCTAAATGCCTTAGCAATTTGACCACTGCCATTCTTCATTCAAAAAGTTCACTACATCCAAAATTCTACTCCGTTCTTCCTTCTTGGTCTCATGTTTCTATTTCATTCCTCTTAAATTTTATCCTAATATGACATACTTTTATACTTGAAAATCTTTAGAAATTTTTTTATTTATATTTTTTGAGTCTTCAAATGGCCTAACTGAAATTTTTAAATGATCGCCTAAAAAAATTACCTTACAACAAATTTACATAAATTGAAATTTAATTTTTAAAATTTCCTGTGGCCATTGTCTCTTAAGTCAGTCAAGAAATTTAACTTATTATTAATACCAGTTTATCAAAACAGCAAATCATAGAGATTTTGATGAATATTTATTAAATGTAAAAATAGAAATGTTATCGGAAATGCATCTCGAATGAGGAGGCAGAATAGAACGTAACTTCTAGAATTTTATAGATGTGAGAAATTTTGGTTTAATTTTTCTTCAGCAGTGTCATTCAGGTCCTGAAAGTCTTTTTGAATTGTCTGTCAAAAATCCCAGGGCCATTTTTGTATGATTAGTATATTATTTCAGTGTATGTCAGTTGACAGTAGGTCCTCCTGAATTATTTTGAAAGCAAAGAATTGAAAATCACCTACCTAACTTACAGAAAAACTCAGTCATTAGAGTTACGTACTTTTTCTTTCTTTTTTTCATTTTATTTATTTTATTTGGAAAGGGGGGGTCTCACTCTGTTGCCCAAGCTGGAGTGCAGTGGTACAGTCATGGCTCACTGCAGCCTCCCCTTCCTGGGTTCACGCGATTCTCCTGCCTTAGCCTTCCAAGTGGCTATGACTACAGGTGTGTACCACCACACCTGGCTATTTTTTAAAAAATCTTAGTATCTTTAGCTTGGCTTTGGGAGAGTCTTTCTTCATTATATTTATTATTTTAATATTTTTGGTAGAAACAGAGTCTCACTATATTGCCCAGGCTGGTCTTTTAACTCCTGGGCTCAAGCTATCCTCCCACCTTAGCCTTCCAAAGTATTGGGATTAGTGGCGTGAGTCACCATGTCCAGCCTGGGAGAGTCTTATACCCAGGGCTGTGGTTAGATGTGATGCCTTTCTTGTGTAAAATGAGAGGAGGATGTTCTGAAAGGGGACCCTTGAAACCGAGTCCTCAGATCCATTGGTTTTTAGAAAGAATACCTGTAGAGTGAAATCATATCATGTGATGTCTTTATCTCAGTTCTGAAGACTTGTATTTGAGATTACCCTGGTGTGCTTAGCATGCTTTTGACTTTGACTTTTTCAACTCTCCTAATTGTAATACTTAGTGTATCTCCGTGTCTTTGTTCTGTTTCTGGTTGGAATTTTGCCTGGAACTGAAAAATATTAAAGTTCATCATAACCCTTCCAGAAACTATAAAACATAGATAGGTAGATAGAGGAAATACTGTATACAGTTGATGTAGCTTGATGCTGGGCCTGTCTGGTCTGTCTTGAGAATTATTACTCTTTAGAGGTATCAGAGAAGCGACATGGGTACTGATGAGGCTACTCAGTAGGGAAGAGGACAAAAAGCACTAGCTAGGTCAGAGCCATGGTTCAGGTCACCATGTGATGTCAGATGTTGCTTATAAATCCTTTCTTCTGTTCGCCATTCTTAAATCTTGATAGGTGTCTGTTGGGAAAGTGATAAAGAGGATACTGGTAAAGAGGGAGGAGAAAGTTCTCGAAAGCAAATTATACTTAAACATATATTTTAAATGCCTTTATAAATTTTTGCTGCTGTCCACTTTAGGTCTTCTCTAAGATTAATCAGTGTCTAGACGCACACAGCAGGTAAAACTTTTCTTTGCCACACAGAAGTAAATCTGACGTGTCTGTGAGGTTGCTTGATAAATGTCAGGTGTCTTGCATTTTATAATCTTGCATTTGGCTAGTGAGTAAATTACAAAAATATTTCTTCCACATATTTTAAAAGCATATCATTAATTTATTTCTGTTTCTGTCTTTAGTGTTCTCCGTGGCCTGATGCCCCCACAGCCTATGTGAATAACAGCCCTTCCCCAGCACCCACTTTCACCTCCCCACAGCAGAGCACTTGCAGTGTCCCGGACAGGTATCTAGTTTGCATGATCGTGTGCCCGCAGCTAACTAATGTTCATGCGCCTTCATTTCCCCATCTCTCCATGTACAGCAGCCTTTTGTTTGTATTGTACCTGAAGAAAATAGTAATGGGAAGTAGCTTGTACCTCTGTGGCAGAGGACAATCATTGTCTCTTCTTCACCTACCAGCCATTTTTACTCCTAGCCCCTTGTGCTTTACATCTTCATAACTATTGTAGACAAGGGGTCATTTTCAAGATATAGCCAAGATACATTCTTTGTGAGATTAAAGACAACATTAATAGTGTCTACAGGTAAAGAGAGAAGGACCAAGGGAGTTTATTACTAAGTTCGTTCATGTGTCTGTAATGCTTATCATATCAAATGGGTTTTCTGCTCTATTTCTTTTCTCTCCCAACAGATACACTATTTTTTAAATTGAATCTTTAAAGGAAGACCTTTCAATTTCTGCAGATTTGCTGTGGTTTTAGAAATGGAAATGGTGGGCTCTGTTTATTCTGTTATCCAGCCTTGACTGTCAAGAGTCTATCTAGTGAGCTCAGGGTGGGAGGAGGAGACTACATTTGGGGCATCTTGACGGTGCAGTGGTACCCCGTGGAGGCGTTCCATTCCAGGGCTGTGCTGCAGAACTAATGCAGAGTAGTTCACATCAAAGTTCCCTATTTTTAGGAAGTTTCTTGTTGGGAAGGAAAATTATGAAAGCTCAATACCACAAAGGAAAAGGTTGTCCAGTCATGCTGACAAGGTCTGATGAGAAAGCAAGCAAAAAATGTGCTCGCTCTCTCTCTCTTTCTCTGAGGAGATGGATAGATAAACTGAGAAGGCAGCTTCTTGTTACATAGGCTATTATGGTTTTTTTTCTTTTTCTTTTCTTTTTTTTTTTTTGAGACAGAGTCTTACTCTGTTGCCAGGGCGCCAGGTTGGAGTACAGTGGCGCAATCTCAGCTTACTGCACCCGCCTCCTGGGTTCAAGCAGTTCTCCTGCTTCAGCCTCCCTAGTAGTTGGGACTACAGGCGCACGCCACCAGGCCCAGCTAATTTTTGTATTTTTTAGTAGATACGGGGCTTCACCATGTTGGCCAGGATGGCCTCGATCTCTTGACCTTGTGATCCACCCACCTCAGCCTCCCAAAGTGCTGGGATTACTGGCATGAGCCACTGCGCCGGGCCTGGCTATTATGCTTTAAGAGTAAGAAAATACCCTTGGACTCAGAAACTTAGAGGAGTGACCAAGGACCAGAAGGTTACCATGTCTGAGGGCTTAGAATAATTTCCTAGTCAGTCCTGTCTGAATAATCTTAGAAAATGATTATGGCTTTAAAGCTGAGTTGTAAGTTTATGTACTCACTAGTAGACTGGAGAACTCACTGTGTTCCCAGTACTTTTCTAAGTGTTGCGCAACATAAGTGACCAAGCAGACAGACCCCTGTCCAAAGGAGGTTAAGTTCTCATGGATAGAAAGGATATAAACAATCAAGATAATAAACCTAAGCAATTGGGGCATGGGTGCTAAGAAAGGTGATCAAGAGCCAGAAGGTAGCCCTATTCCCTGTGGAGTTGTTTTTCATTACATTTTACTTAGAAGCACAAGGATAGTGGCACAAGATAGTTTCTTTTGTTCTCTTGAAATTCATCCTCTTTAATCTTGGATATATGTATTACTTAAAGGAGTATCATTTTATATTTTTGCTTAGGATCATTATAATATTTCTTGTAGCTCATTTTTTTTTTTGCAATTATTTTCAACTGTTTAATTTGATGTTCATGTTTTTTCCCCTAACTTTTAAAAATGAATGTGTATCCTTCATTTTCCTTGGGATTCCTGAAGATAATTGGGGAAGCCTTTTGTTTAACAAAACTTGAATTTCTCAATAGAACAGATAAGGCGGCGGCACAAATTAAGACACTGTCTTCTGTGTCTTAATCTTGTCATCATGCCCACACCCTAACCTGTTGCGCTTGCATTTTTGCTGCAGACTTTCATAGCTTTCTCCCACATTATTGCCTTACTTGAATTTGCATAGTTTAACAACTTTTAATGCCTTGATTTAAACATGTATGTATTATACAAATCATTTCCTTCTTTCTCCTTTCTCCCCAGCAATTCTTCTTCCCCAAATCATCAGGGAGATGGAGCTACACAGGTCTCTGGTGAAGTAAGTGTCTTTCTACTAAATCTGTCTGATGCTTTCAGGTTTCTACATTTTAAAATTTTGTTTTTTGTGCAAATTTATGGAGTATGCAAGAAATTTTTTTACATGTATATAATGTGTGGTAATCAAGTCAGGATATTTAGGATGTCTGTCACCTGAGTAGAGTACATTTTTTAAGGTATAGTCATTCTACTCTGCTATCAAATATTGAATTTACTCCTTCTATTTTATTGTATGTTTGCTTGTACCCTTTAGTCCAGTTCTTCTTATCCTCTCCCTTATCCTCCACCCATTCTTCCCAGTCTCTGTTACCTGTTTTTCCACTCTCCACCTTCATGTGTTCAAATTTTTTAGCTCCCACATATAAGTAAGAATATAAGTCTTCCTGTGCCTGGCTTATTTCATTTAAGACAATGAAATGTTCATGTTGTCCATGTTGCTACAAATGATGATTTCATTAGCAGCAGAATGATTTCATTTTCTTTTTTATGGCTCATTGTGTATCATGTTTAAGTTGCTGACAAGGGCTTGCGTTATTATTTGGGTTGCTGAGTAGTGAGACTCATGCTGTTTTTGGGTGTTTTTTACTTCAAACTCTGAGTCTTTCTGTGTTTTGTTTAAGTATTCTAAGTTTGAAAGCTTCCTTTTATTTATGTTCATTTTCATTGTCAATAGCAAATTCAACCTTCAGCTACAATCCAGGAAACACAGCAATGGCTGCTCAAAAACAGATTCTCTTCCTACACAAGACTGTTTTCTAATTTTTCAGGTATGTGTGTGTGTATGTATGTGTGCATGAGAATGTTTGGGTTTTGTTTCCGTGCTTTTATTAACCATATTTTTAAAAATTTTGAAATAACTATAGATATGAAGTTGCAAAGAAAAATGTACAGGAAAGTTCTGTATATCTATCCCCCAATAGGAATATCTTGTATTTTTATCAAATACTATTAAAGCTAGACAGTTGATGTTGGTTCAGTCAAGAGTTTTACCAGACTTACGTGTACTCATTTGTGTGTATGTGTATACAGTTCTACGTATTTTTAAAATTTTAACCTATTTTGAAATAATTTGTGTTTTATAGTAAGTTACAGAGCTAGTACAGTGATGTTTTGGTATACTCTTCACTCCATTTCTCACCTAATTTTAGTACACTAGCAAAACCAGCAAGTTGACATTGGCACAATGTATGTTACAGTATAGATTTGTGTAACCACCACCACAGTTAAGATACAGAATTATGCCATCACTACAAGGGTACCCTTCCTGCTACCCCGTTAGAGAGAGAGAGAGAGAGAGACACACACACACGCACACTCACTCTCTTTCTCTTTTCCCCCACCATCCCTAATCCCTGGCAACCACTTTATATTCTGTCTCTGTGATTTTGTAATGAGTCTTATATAAATGCAATCATACAGTATATAATCTTTTGAGATTGGCTTTTTTTTCACTAGCATAATGGCCACCTAAGTTGTTGTGTATATCAGTAGTTTAATCCTTTTTATTGCTAAGTAGTATTTTGTAGTCTGAGTGTACTCAATTATGGTTTTTATATACTTACATGTAAGTTTTTTTTTCTTGCACAGTAAGCTAAAGGAATGTTTAGAAAAAATTTAAAAGGTACCAAGCAAGCACTGCTTCTTCAGGTGGTGCTATAGAAAACTTGCTTAGAGGGACAGTAATAGATAATGACATGTGGGGCAAAGGGAGCATTTCCCAAATATATTTGACTCTGGGACTCCTTTCCATCACGACCACCTAGTAACATGTCCTGGCCAAACATCCTGAGACATGCCGGATCACAGTAAAGTGGTAGTTAGCTTCCTTCACCTGCAGTGCAGTAGGGCCAGGAAAACACAACTTTGTGAATCCTTTAAGAGGACAGAACTTGTGTGTACACACACTCAGCCTGAAGGAAAGCTTGATTTCACAAAGAACATGGTTTCTTACTATGCCATGGTAGTGTTTATGCAATGAATAGGTATTTCCCATGTAGTTGTCTCTTTAAAATTATAGTTCCAGATGGAAGTCATTTGCTAGCTGGGGACTACATTTCTATATGATTAAGTAAAACTTTTTATGGATGAAAAACTAGAAATTATAAAATTTCAGGGTTGGGGAGCTGGGGTTTGTCTTGCACTGTTGTATGGAAGGCAGATGAAAAGCATAGCACATAGAAAAAGCACTGACATTTGGAACTGAGGGAGGCCCCACATTGCTCCTGTTATATTAGGCAGATCCGTGTTTCTATCTGGTGAGTTTTAAGCCCTTTTTACTGTGATCAGTGTCCACATGGCGTGACTTTCTCCCTTTTCCTTATCCTGGGGGCTTCTTCCAAGAAAGTAAGTGAGGAGGTAGCCATGGTACCCTTTGGGTACATTTCATGAGTCACAGCACTGACAGTAGCATGGTGAGGAGAGTGAGGCTTCTTACTCTGATCTTTGTGGGCATTCATATTTCAGGAAGGGCTGTACATGCAGTTATCTGTCCAGTTCTCCATATGGGTTAAGGGTGTGTACACACATACACAGTACTCTCTGGTCACAACTGTGAGGTGCGTATACTAAGCCCTAGTAGAGAAATGAAAGAGAGCCTCTCTGCTTACCTGACTCTATAAAATGACTATTAATGCTCATGTCTCATGGAAGATGTGCTCCTCTGATCTTTGTTTTACAGACTAGCAATTTAGTAGGCTGTCACATTTCAGCCTTTAAAAATAGATGACTCCATTATCTTCTTACATATGTAAGTAGATATTTATCATATGGAAGTCATGCCTTCATCCCAAAGGTCATCTTTTTTTTTTTTTTTTTTTTTTTTTTTGAGACGGAGTTTCACTCTTGTTACCCAGGCTGGAGTGCAATGGCGCGATCTCGGCTCACCGCAACCTCCGCCTCCCGGGTTCAGGCAATTCTCCTGCCTCAACCTCCTGAGTAGCTGGGATTACAGGCACGCACCACCATGCCGAGCTAATTTTTTGTAGTTTTAGTAGAGACGGGGTTTCACCGTGTTGACCAGGATGGTCTCGATCTCTTGACCTCGTGATCCACCCGCCTCGGCCTCCCAAAGTGCTGGGATTACAGGCTTGAGCCACCGCGCCCGGCCCCAAAGGTCATCTTAATTCCCACAATAAACTGCATCCTTGCTGTTAGTAAGAGAATAAAACAAAGATTATGGAAACATTCAGACATTAAAAAGTAGAGAGAATATGATGAACTCCCAAGCAGCCATCTCCCAGCTTCAGAAGCCACCAGCATTTGGTCAGTCTTGCTCTCCACCATTTCCTCTTCTGCCTTGGCTTGTATTTCAGAGCAAATCCTAGATGCCATATCATTTACACTTGAAATACTGAGTATTATTTCATGTGTATGCACTCAGATATGGCTTTTATATACTTAATGTGTAAGTTTTTTTTTTCTTGTATACTAAGTGTAGGGAGTTTTAGATAGAATTTTTAAAAGTGTCAAGCACTGCTTCTCTAGGTGGTGCTGTAGGAAACCTGTATAGAGAGACATTCACACTTTTAAATGACATGGTAAGTAAGATGTGCTTGGGGAAATCTTAGGGTATAATGAGTGATTCTCCACCATTCTTCTGTTAAAACTGGCTGCTGTGACAGTGTTGTTTATGTTATAGAATGTTTGACTTTACATTGTATGTTTCAGTATAAAGAGGCCCAGTCCTAGTTCGGCTACCATCCGTTACAGACTTTTGTCAAGTCCCATAAACTCTGGACTCCCATTTCCTTTTTTGTAAAAAAGATTGACTAGCCTGGGTGATATCAGGGTTTGTTTCTGTGGAGTGAGTCAGAAACGTTTCTTCACACATCCCAATCCAGCCACTAAATAAGGTAGACGAGTGAAATCCTGTATTTGGCAGATTTCTATAGGCCCTGCCGTCATTGATTTGATTCACCGGCCTCTAGACTTCTAAGCACTTTCTTGATACAGAACATGGAAGAGTCACCATTTTCCTTGGCTCTGAAGGACAGATGTTTGTGTATCTTCTTGTATTGTTCATGTATATGTGTATATTCAGGATACCTGTGATTATTTTGAAGGACATTGGACTGCATGATGACAGATGCCTGTAAAGCAGTTCTGTTCTTTTTCCATTTATTTGAGAAAGATATATTTGCTCTTCTCTAGGTGCCGACTTATTAAAACTGACAAAGGAGGATTTAGTTCAAATTTGTGGTGCAGCCGATGGAATTCGGCTCTATAATTCACTGAAGTCAAGGTAAAATACTGTGAACTGTTTTGCTTGAAATAAGAATGTACCTTTCTTCGTGTGGGAATTTGGGCAGAATGTGTTTCCACGCTAGGTTGGCGTGTGTGCCTGTGTGCGCCGTCGAGCATCGGCAGCATTGTGCTCACAAGAAGACTGTTTTGTGTACACCTTCAGGGCAGGCCCAGATATGATGCAGGCACTGATGAGGGCAGAGGTAGACTGTAAGACTGGTAGAAATGCACATGGGCAGTACTGATTTCTTGAAGACGACTGGGTTTGTTGCCAAGAAAACAAAACTTCTAATTTAGGTGAGCTATACAGAATCTATGGTTTTCAAGGTCATGACTATTACTAAACAGTTATTAAAAATGTAAACTAATTGTGAATTAAAATGACAGAAAATGTAAATTGTGCTGGCTTGTAAGAACCATTTATTATTATTGCTCTTTCTATACTTGTGGTGTGAGAATTCCATTAAAATTGAATCTTACTGATTTTTAATTTGCTGACTTAATCTTGAAACTTAAATTTACCAGCATCTGACAGACCATCTCAATGGTTTAGAGTCTGGATCATCATATTAGACCACCTGTGATAGTTGGTGTGAGGTGTGTGGTTTTTATATTTTTATTAGTAAATTATTTTGTATAACGAAATAACATTATAAAGTTCTCGTAAGGAAATAGAACTTAGATTCCTGTAGTTGTCATATTTGTACGTGTGGTAAGGCAGCTTTCTCTCCCAGGCTTATCAGTGGCATCTTCTGATTGCAGGTCGGTTAGGCCCCGTTTAACCATCTATGTCTGCCGGGAGCAGCCAAGCAGCACAGTGCTGCAAGGGCAGCAGCAAGCTGCAGGCAGTGCAAGCGAGAATGGCAGTGGGGCACCCTATGGTAGGTATGGAGGGCATATCGATTCTGTCACTTCTTCTCTGAGATTGTCAGACAGAAATGGGAAGGACTTGATGGAGCAGGCTTTGGAGAACTCTTGCTGTGTTAGGAATGCCAAGTTGCTCTTGTGGGAGCCTTGACAGTAATGAGAGGTGGCAGCTCTAGGGCCAAGTCCTTGGGAGAAGAGGAAACTGGCATTCTTTCTCGATTATTTCAGCCACACTGAGGGTCTCTTTTTTCATGTGGCCCCTCATGCCAGAAATATCTAACAAGTGAAAAACTAGCTTGAACGGATCGAGATCTTTTCTGGCCTTTTTTTTTTTTTTTTTAAATATCAGACTTACTGAAATGATGACTATAACACTGGCAGCTTAACAAAAAGCAGGAGGGTTTTTCTTTCCTTTTTTTTTTTTCCATTTTCCTGACTAGGGGTGGGGAAAACTCTTAAAACACCACATATGTGCAACAGTGTATAGTGTATGTATGTAATAGTCTCTAAGTGTGTGGACTTGTCACCAACAAGTGTTTGGCCAGCACTTTGCACCTTGTGTGTGGCAAGTCTGGTGTTTTGTCTTTATGTCATTGTAAATAACACACAGTACATTATCTTGGGAGGGCTTCTCATCCTGAGGATTTAATTGTAGTATAGTGCTAGATTAGGACAGAGATAAAAATTCTGGCCCCTCCCTCCTCTTGCCTGTAAATATGACCCTTAAAGAAAGCAAACATTTTAAAAGGCATATGTTTTCTCATTTATAGCATGGATATATGGTAATATTTCCTTCTTTCTATACTCTGAAGTAGAACAAAGGCAACATGCTCAGAATTTTTCAAAAAAAGATGGGTTAATGGAATTTGGAGATGCAGTTATTTGCCCTAATAGTAGGTGGAGCTCTGAAAAATATTTTGTGGTTTGAATTTTACTGAAAAATTGGAAGGATATCATCACTATATGAACTTTTCTATTTGGTATCATTTTGACTTCAAAAGCTCTGAATTTTGAGATTATACAAATTCTTATAGGATAAAAATTTAAAGGAGCTCTCCACGTATATCATCAGGATCTTATATTTCATTTACATATGGTCAACATTATAATATTTTGGAAGGTGTATCCTCAAACATGAGTGTTTGTGGAGGGATGTGGGAAAATAATGGAGATTTCCCCATAATCAGGGGTCAGCAAACTTTTTCTGTAAAAGGTCAGGTAGTAAATATTTCCATCTCTTTAGACCATACATAGGGTTTCTCACCTTCAACTCTGTGATTGTAGTGCTAAAATAGCCATAGACAATATGTAAATGTAGATAAGGCTGTTCCAGTAAAATTTTATTTAAAAAAAAAATAAGTAGAGGGCAGGAATTGGTCCGTCTGGGCTGTGGTTTGATGATCCCTGTTCTAGATCATATCTACAGTCTTGCTGTAATTTTAGTTCCAACTTCTCAGTTTTATGTAATGTAAAATCTGGGTTTCTATGCCCACAAACCCCTTGTTTGGGGAAGCACAGTTCTCAGTAGTGATATTCCTGATTCATGTCTGGCTTTAATCAGTAATTGAGCAGGACCTACAAGAGTGAGACTCACTACAGATGTGCACTGTGCAGATGTCTGCTGAAAAGATCTGTGTAGCAAAAATGCAGAACACCGGATGGAATGTGACTGGGGCTTTCTGCAAGGAAGCATCACGCTCCATTGTTTATATTCTTAGCCTTTTCATATAGTATCTTTTATATTATTTAAATTTTTGTGGGGGAGGGGCATATACAGATAGCTTTTATTCCTTAGGATAAATTCCTAGTAGTAGGATTACTGGATCAAAAACTATAATGTTTATCTGGGGGTGATGGGTCATGACTGTAATCCCAGCACTTTGGGAGGCTTAACAGGGTCGATTGTGTGAGCCCAGGAATTTGAGACAGCCTGGATAATGGATAACATGGTGAAACCTTGTCTCTACAGATAATAATAATAATAAAAAAATTAGCCAGGCGTGGTGGCGTGTGCCACCACCATAGTCCTAGCCACTTAGGAGGCTGAGGTGGGAGGATTCCTTCAGCCTGGGAGGCAGAGGCTACAGGGAGCTGCGATTGTGTCACTGCACTCCAGCCTGGGCAACAGAGAGAGACTGTCTCAAAAAAACAAAAGAACTGTGACTCTTTTAGGGTTCTTTTTGTATACTGCCAGAAATACATGAAATATATATTATTTTTAAAAACAGCTTTCTTTAGGCATAATTTACATACCATAAAGTCCTCTCATTTTAAGTATATAATGATATTTTAGCAAATTTACAGAGTTTTTCAGCCGTTGTCAAAATCCAATTTGAGTCCCATTACTTCAGGAAGATCCCCTAGGTCCATTTGCAGCCAATTCCTGTTTTTAAACTTTGAATACATGAAACTATATTCATTGCAAAAAAATATGAATAAAGAAAAACTCAAACCTCAAATCTTTTTGTCCAGGGATTTCTGCTAGTCTTTATTAAATTATATTTGCGGATATAAATAATGTATTCTTACATTTTAAATTGGTAGTTCAAGATTTCAGTGTAGTAAAATGGGGAAAGAAATAGTTTATTCTCATTAAAAACAATTTTTTTTTTTTTGGTACTTTGAAAGGTTTGATTTTTCTACAGAGCGTACAGATCAGGTAGAAAACAGATCAAAGATTCTGTTAAAATGCTGTTCTTTTTTTTTCTTTTAATTTCAGTTTATCATGCAATCTACTTGGAAGAAATGATAGCCTCAGAAGTCGCTCGAAAACTTGCGCTGGTGTTTAATATTCCTTTCCATCAAATTAATCAGGTTTACAGACAGGGTCCCACTGGTATTCACATTCTTGTTAGTGATCAGGTAAATCAAATAGGCATGCTCATTTGCTTTTCCTTTTCACACTGCTCTTTACTTTTATACATGTAATTGTAGAACTGTAGAAAAATTCTGTGACCTCTTTTGAAAATACTTAAGAGAATCATTTTCAGAGAGTTGGGAATCACTTTGGAAGAATTTATAACCAAAAGTTTCAGGCATCCTAGTGATAATACGGAAGGCAAGCCAAGGAAAACTGGCTTAGCCTTCTCCCAGCCCTTTAGGATGTAGCCAGTCACTGGGGGACTCTAGGGATAGTGGCAGGCTTCAGCCCTTTTTATGAGGTGAGTCATTGGATGGGTTTTCCTTTTGTCTATTATTTGATGACTAATTTTAAAAAACATGTAAGATTAGATACATAATTTTTCCCCTAGTGTTTGGTGGCAAGCAAGTAATAGTAGAAGAGCACTTCATGCAATTTTTGTTAGAGTCATCATCCATAGGAGCCGGCAGGGAATGTGCCACTGTGGGTCCCACAGGTGACCAGCCAGGTCGCTCAGGGACCATTATGGGCTGGTATGGTGCAGTGAACACAGGGCAGAGCAGCACGTGTGCATCTCTGCTACCTCACTCTGCCTTCATGAATTATTGTTTTGACCATTGAGTCCTGTGTTTGTGTGAGAAGAATATTTGCTATTTTAAAATCATTTCTAGTTAAGAAACGACACTTGGATCTTAATTGTACTTACATATTTACTTTATCCTTCTAGATGGTTCAGAACTTTCAAGATGAGAGTTGTTTTTTATTCTCCACCGTAAAAGGTACTTTGCATGTATGTGTGTCTTAAAATGCTGGAATCGTGAGAGACTGTGTGTGCCTCTAATTAGTGCCTCTTGTGTGTTTATTCTTTAAAATGGCTTTACTCATTTTAAGAAGAAAGTTTGAGAAATTAAGAATATTTTTAGTACTTGTAATAGAAATTAGCAAATAAGGAAGAGACGAGTCAGTCTTTCTAGATGACAGGGAAAAAAATCTCAGTTCATTCAGCCAACATCTTAGTGAGCACTTTGTGTCAGACACTATGCTTCTGTCACTCAATAGCTCTTGAATAAAACAATCCATGAAACTCCTTTTGGGGAAAGCAAAACAAAATTGGCCAAGAGATCCACAAAATTACCAATATGTTAAGTGCTATGAAGGAACAGGAAAGTGTGGGGTACTTATGGATAAGGGAGATCTGGGTTGGGGGCACTGTGAAACTGTAAGGCAAGGCTTCCCTGAGGAGGTGTCATTAATCCTGAGACTTGAAGAACGAGAAGGAACAGGAGCTGGCCACAGGAGTAGCATCCCCAAGCAATATGGGGTTGTGTGCAAGGAAAACAGTTGGCTTCTTTTAAAGTCTGGCAGTGGGCCGTGTAGCTGCCATGCAGTGTGTGAGGGTGAGCGGATCAGCGTGGAGTCAAAGCAGGAGGCTGGGTCTGGCATGCAGGACTGGGTCTGGCATCCATGGTAGTTTGGATTTACTTGAAATGCATTGGGATGTCACCGAAGTGTTTAAACCAAGGAGTGGTAATATGACTAGATTTTTCTTTCACTGTCACAACTCTGTGGAGATAGATGAGGAGGTGGCAGAACTGGAGGCAGGAGATATCCGGGTGAAAGGTGGTGTATCTTACAGATCAGACAGGGCCTGGTGGGCTCCACGTTTGAGGGAGGAATAGTTCTGACTCCTGTTTTTCTTTGGAAAGTAACTGGGCAGATGGTGATTTCACTGAAGAAGTAAGTATGGTTGGGGTGAAGCAACCAAGAGTTTCATTTTGGATGTGTATAAATGTCAAGTAGGCAGCTGACTACCAGTTTGGGGGCTCAGAGGCAGGCTTGCCCTTGAGATGTAAATTTGGAAGTCTTCAGTATATCAACAGTGACTCAAAGCTGTAGAAGTTGTTAAGGTCATTTAGGGGAGAGAGTGTGAGAAGAGCCAGGACCAGGTGCAGGTGGCTCCAACATTCAAGAGAAGGGATTCTTAAATGTAAAATTCATTGAGAAGAGATCATACATTCATAGACCGTTTTAAAAGTCAGGTGAGCCAAGATCCAAACCCAGTCTTAGCACAAAAGCTGCCCCTAGAAGAGGAAGATGTCATGTATGTCAAGTGTCCCAAAACTACTGAAATACTGATTTTACTTTGTGTCTCACATGTTGCATATGCCATCAAGGTTTCCTGCAAGGCGGAGTTTTAACTCTGGACTGGGTCATTCTTTTACTTTCAGAAACATCTTTAGCTTAGTACCCTTCTGCTCAATCTTTTGTTCTCACAGCAGTACTGTTTTACCCTGTATAACTCACATTGTCTGAAAAAGAAAACATATAATTGTATCTGTTTTGTAAAACCAGTGGACATTTTCTGGTGTTAGAAATCATAGGATCTCTTCTCTAATCTCAATTTACTGTTTATTTTTCTTCAAACTTTGACCTCATGAGAAATTTTTTTTTTTTTTTCCTAAATGAATGCCTGTATGCTTCTATTTACTGAGAGACACTTGGCAAAAGGAATGATACTTCTTTTATTTTTTTTGTTTATTTTTTGAGATGGAGTCTCACTCCGTTGCCCAGGCTGGAGTGCAGTGGCACCATCTCTGCTCACTGCAACCTCCAGCTCCTGGGTTCAGGAGATTCTCCTGCCTCAGCCTCCCTAGTAGCTGGGACTACGGGCGCCCGCCACCACACCCGGCTAATTTTTGTATTTTTAGTAGAAACAGAGTTTCACCATAGTGGTCAGGCTGGTCTTGAACTCCTGACCTTGTGATCCACCTACCTCGGCCTCCCAAAGTGCTAGAATTACAGGCGTGAGCTACCGTGCCCGGCCTGGAATGATACATTTTTTTTTTTTTTTTTTTGAGACGGAGTTTCGCTCTTGTTACCCAGGCTGGAGTGCAATGGCGCGATCTCGGCTCACCGCAACCTCTGCCTCCTGGGTTCAGGCAATTCTCCTGCCTCAGCCTCCTGAGTAGCTGGGATTACAGGCACACGCCACCATGCCCAGTTGAATTTTTGTGTTTGTAGTAGAGACGGGGTTTCACCATGTTGACCAGGATGGTCTTGATCTCTTGACCTCGTGATCCACCCGCCTCGGCCTCCCAAAGTGCTGGGATTACAGGCTTGAGCCACCGCGCCCGGCCGGAATGATACATTTTTTAAATGTTTGAAATCTCTCAGTAGCTCAGACATTTTTCTGGAAAAGACAGATGTACACATTTGCATTTACTCCTTCAGGTCCTCTGCCCTGACACAGTGTTTTCACCTGTTCTGCCCCTAGCTCTTGTTTGCCTTTTGGACAGCATTACTATTGTTTGTCTTGATAGATTTCCCCCCATCCCCAGTACTGGCAGACAGTGTTGGAGGCAGGGGCTTTGATAGTGGGCCAGGCGTGAAAAGCGCAGAATGTCTAGAAAGGGAATGTGTACGTGAAGTTTTTTGGGGGAAGAGGAGCTAGAGCAAGTTAATCTGCCTGTTTCTCTAGAATCATTTAAAGGTAACCTCTGAATTGGGAAGGGAGGTTGTAGTTTGCAGGGAGTTTTCTATTTAATAGGCTTAATTTCCTAAGCCTGACTGAAGAAATAATTTCTTTCCCTTTTCTGCAGCTGAAAATAGTGATGGCATCCACATAATTTTGAAGTGATGTCTTATATAGACTGAACTATATTCAGTACCAAATAGTCACGCTTACAAGTGTGTGAAGACTGAATCCAAGAAGTCTTGGGATTGGATTTTACCATATGAAATGTTTCATATTGAAAACACAAGATGATCTTTCTAATGAGCTGTATGAGAGGTGAATCTCCTCACTGTCACTGCCATAGCCAAGCATCCTCGTGAGAGTGAGCACATCGGCACAGCATGCATCCAGCTCTGGAGGCCACGGTGCAGGCGTAGCTGCCTACTTCTCTGGCAGAGGCCAGTAAATACAGTTCCTAGAAGCAGCCTTTGCTGTCTTTTTACACTGTATGCGGTTTGGAAATGAATGTAAAAACTTATGTGGGCATTTACCTTTCTGTGCCAGTTTGGCTTTTATTGCCTGAACCTTATGCTGACCTGGAGAGGAGATGGGGGGGACAGCGCTGTTGTGGAGCCAGCAGTGAATCTGTATGCGGAGAGAGGTGTTGTGCTGATGCAGCCATTGGTGGTCAGGTAAGAGGCTTGGCACCTTCTTGGAAGAAATCATGTCTAAGGGTGTACGTTTGATGTGATCATGCTAGATCGGAGAAGATCCAAGCCAGGAAGATGGGCTTGAAGCAAACTGCATTATCAGGAGTACCTTGGTGAGAGGATCAGTGTAAATCCTAATAGGTACAAAGACTTTTGTGTTTTGGCTTTGTCACAGATTTATTGAAAAACTTTTTTGCTTCTGCTTCCATTTTTAGCATTTTAGTTTCTGGTTTTCATTTTTGGAGATTCTTTGCCTTTTAAACTCATGTGGTTTTTCTCTCGTTTTCTTCCCTCTCTCCATCTCTGACTACCACCCCCCCCCTCCCCCTACCCCCCCACCCCCACCATCCCTTTAAAGCCCTACCCCAGACATTGGAAATAGGTGACCCAAGTAGGGGGAGAAAGTATTGTTGTTGATAGCTTCTGACTAGGTGTTAAGGGATCTTCATTATGAACAAGATGAAATTTTTTCATGGAAACACTAGATGTTATCTGTCAAACACTAAAATGTACCATCCAAATCCCTTAAGCCTCTCCTCAAATATTGAGCTTTAGTACAATCATGGATAGACATGCTGGTGATTATTTAGGGGCTTTTTATACACCACGTTATAGCTTCTTTCTTTATAAAAAGAGTGCCTCTTTAATAAAACCAAATGCTTGTCTGCTAGCATACTTTTCAAAGGGAATCCACTGTTTTCTCACTTTCCTCCTGTATCTCTGTCTTTCATCCAGAACTTTCCCAAAATCCATCAGCAAGCATGTTTGAGGCCTGTGGTGTAGGGGACTGAATTTTTTTTAAAACAACTTCTACTCCATTTTAATTGTAGCATCTCTCTGTCCATATACCCAGATGTCCTGATTTGAATGTACTATTTGATCCTCATCTTTGTTCAGGCAAAAATAGGAAATGAGTAATTTTGAGTTTGAAATCTCTCCTAGAAGACAAACTACTTTGGTGGGTAAAAGCTTTGACATTTTATGTTTTATTCATAAAGGGGGTTAATTATTTGCCACAGAGAAGCACGGTCTGCTTTCATCTTCAGTTTGAAAATATCTAACTCTAATAGACCCTATAGGCAGAGAGCTTTCCTTTCTGACTTTTTCCCTTTGCTTTTGTGTGACCACATGTTTTCTGTACCAGTCACTGGGGAAAGAAGTGAGTTTATCTCTTGTTTTAAAAGTTTTGCTTGTCTATTTAGCATTCCTTTTCGGATCTCAAGATTTATGGAACAATAAATGTCATTTAATGCTGTGTGCTTATTTTGAATTCTTCATCAGGTTTTAGAAGCGGGGTAAAAATACTTACTTAGATGTTTATCAAACTTGAAATTATACTGAGTGGCATTGAACATGAGTTTGTCCCAGTGAAACAGGCAAAATAAATTATGGCACCAGCAAATTTGTTACTTTGTTTTTTTAATAGTAGGATGTACACATTTCAGGATAATAAATGTTTTCTGATTGTTTTGCAAATGTGTGTCTCATTTAAAAGCCCAGTTCCTGCTAGTGTCACTTTATGTAATAGAATCAAGGGGTTTCCCTGTGTGTGTTCTGTGCTAGTGTAAATGTAATAAGAGGTTAGGCACATAGTTTTTGCCTTTTCAGTTTATTTTCTCAAAGCTGATGCAACTGAGGATTTTTATTCCAGTAACTCTTCCAAACTTTAAAAGGAAGCAAACCTGATATTCTTACAAGACGTTCTCCTGTTTTGTAAATGAGGCCATGAGTCATTGAGCATTGAGTGAGTCCAATAGCTGTGACAGGTTGTATCCTGGCTCAAAAGAAATCGTGTATAGAAGACTCTGGTCATTTAATTTTTTTTTTTTTTTTTTTTTTTGACTGACAGTCTCACTGTTGTTGCCTGGGCCTGGAGTGCAATGGCACAATCTTGTCTCACTGCAACCTCTGCCTCCCGAGTAGCTGGAGTTACAGGCACATGCCACCACGCCTGGCTAATTTTTGTATTTTTAGTAGAGATGATGGGGTTTGACTATGTTGGCCAGGCTGGTCTCGAACTCCTGACCTCAAGTGATCCACCCACCTTGGCTTCCCAAAGTGCTGGGATTACAGGTGTGAGCCACTGTGCGCCTAGCCTTGTTATTTTTTAAACGAAACTCTTAATTCATAATCACTGAAGCAAGTCTGTTATATGCTCATTTACTGAAGTTGCTTCCTGCATCAGTCCTCCTCCCCAATCTCCTCTACAGCAGTGGGTATACATGTATATTTAAGTAACTGCTATGGTATCCACACAATTTTTGGACCAAGGAATACTGGAAAATATCATAAGGCAATAAAATGACTTTAATGCTTACTCTGATAATCTTGTCAAGTCCATCTATGGGAAGATGATAAATATATCTGCTTTCTTTGCCTAGAATGCAGCTGAGGTAACAGATCCTTAAAAATACTTATAAAACTTTGTATCTAATAAAGGTATTGCTAGTCATGGGGAAATGTCTTGCCTATGCTGTTTCACTTAAGTTTCTCATGAGCTCCTGGCCCTTCAGTTTGGGGGAGTGGTTGTTAGGAAGGGCTGGCCACCATGAACACCTACGTTCACAATGAAGGTGATGATAGGTTCTTAATAAAGATCATAAATGTGGACAGCATGGAGCAAGAATCAACCACAGTAAAGAGTAGGATCATCTTACAGATTTCAGATAACATCAGGAAGGTGTGAATTTGGAAAATGGTTTTCCTTGGATGTGTCTGCCATAAAATCATAGCAATAAAACCCTCTGACTTAATTTTTTTTTAAAGCATTGCAATGGTTTATTCAATTTTATGAGTCTAAAAGGTACCAACACTTACTGATCTGAGTTTTAAGTTTGTAAAACTTTTGAGTAGTTATGATGTAACCTGATTTCTAAGATTTCAAAATAAACTTGAAAAACAAGAATCACATCCATTTTACATGCATCCATTCATTACTTTTAATTGATTATATTACAGTTAACTTAAGCCTAATTCTTTAAGGTCCCCCCAGTTTTAGAGAGGCGTGGACATAATTCGCTTTTTTCCTTTAATAAAAATGCGTGATGTGCTGTAGCATACACCAGAGCTTCTACTTTCCTGTCAGGCAACACAGACTCTGAGCTGCTTTTGTTTTTGGTCCCTGGAGGTGTATATGACAAGTTGACAGACAAAGGTGAAGACCCTGCTCCACCCAGTATAGAGTCCTCTTTTCTTTGGTGTCTCATGGAAACCTATTAACATACCTTCCACATAAGTCTCTACATATAAAACTATCAGGCATTACGAATTTGCAGTACAGTCACTTTGATAAAGTTGCTATTTTATCTTCAAAGTGGAAAAGTCCTGCTAATCAAAATGGAATTGTGAATTAAAGTAGGCCACTGGCTTAAGTATCAGGTAGAAAATCAACAGCTTATTTTTTCTGCTCAGTTTGTGCTAACACTGATGGTCTGCTTGAGGAATGCTGAGAATGCCAAGGGTAGGGCTTTAGTACCTAGGTAGGTACCCATCTCTTAAGAGATCCAGGTTTCTGGCATGGTCCTGGCTGCATTGAGACCACTTGCCATGTGTTAACTGACACAAGGCTTTGATTGATTCACAGCAGAATAAAGGTGAAAACTATCACCAGAGTTACTGCAATCCATACAGAAGTCTTTTACCTGTAAATGCCTTTCCCAATGGAGAATCAACAGATTGGGTGATGGTGGAGTAGGTCAGGAAGACTCACGTCTTCTAGAGGAAAGGATGCCTCATCACCCCTTGGGCTCAGGCAGCTGCTGTCAGAGAATGACGCAGCACCTGCACAGTCGCTGTCCACTTCCTGCCACTGCTGTTGGTGGGGTGACGGGGGCAAAGTAGGCGTGGACTTTGACATGAGGGAGCTGAGCCTGGAAGGATGAAGAAGAAAGTTTTTACACTGGTATTTTTAGGATTATGGTCATAATTCTAGAAAAGCCTATAGTCCTCCATTAAAAATCTTCACCTTAATAAGTCAGTTCAAATAGAATTTATGCTGTAGATTAGAGCTATTCCTGTTACTCCCCCTACCCTCTGCCCCCCAATAGTACCTTCTAAGAATAAGTGAAAACACTGGAGTTGATATACATTGATATATTTCCACCCAGGGGTGGTAACCTGCCCTGTTTGCAAACTAAGTGAATGTTCTCTACGGCTGTAGCACCCTGGATGGGGCTGTTTTGGGATGTAAATACAGTTGCCTAAACTTAAACCATAATCAAGAATGTAGGTGAGGCCAGGTGCAGTGGCTTATGCCTGTAATCCCAGCACTTTGGGAGGCCGAGGCGGGCGGATCATGAGGTCAGGAGTTCAAGACCAGCCTGGCCAAGATGTTGAAACCCCATCTCTACTAAAAATACAGAAGTTAGCCAGCGTTGTGGCTCACGCCTGTAATCCAGCTACTCAGGTGGCTGAGGCAGGAGAATTGCTTGAACCCAGGAGGTTGAGGTTGCAGTAAGCTGAGATCACGCCACTGCACTCCAGCCTGAGCAACAGAGCGAGACTCTGTCTCCAAAAAAAAAAAAAAAAAAAAAAAAAGCCAAATTCTGTTAAGCCCTCTTACCTGGAAATTAGCCAAGATAGCTCTACCTCCTATTCATGATGACCTTATATTGCTTAACTGATTGCCTTTAACATAGGCTTTTTTTTTTTTTTTTTTTTTTTTTGGCTCTTACCTCCATGCTGGAGTGCAGTGGTGCAATCTTGTCTCACTGCAACCTCTGCCTCCTGGGTTCAAGAGACTCTCCTGCCTCAGCCTCCTGAGTAGGCAGCAACCATGCAGAGCTGATTTTTGTATTTTAAGTAAAGATGGGTTTTCACTGTGTTGGTCAGGCTGGTCTGGAACTTCTGACCTCATGATCTGCCCGCCTTGGCCTCACAAAGTGCCGGGATTATAGGCATGAGCCACCACGCCTGGCCCAACATAGGCTTTCTTATAAGGGCTCTGATCACCAGACTGTGAAATCTCCACCCAGACCAGACCCACTTAGGTTGAATCTTCCAGGGTGAAGTCTAAGCAAGAACATTTTGAAGACTTCTAAGGTGACACTATTATACCAGATCAGTTTGCATAACAGAAAATGGATTTTTTTTTTTTTTCTTAAGAGTCTCACTCTATGGCCCAGGCTGGAGTGCAGTGGTGCGATCTGGGCAATGTCTGACTCCCAGGTTCGTGATTCTACCCCTGCCTCCCAAGTAGCTGGGATTACAGGTGCCCACCACCACGCCTGGCTAATTTTTGTAATTTTTTTTTAACAGAAATGGGGTTTCACCATTTTGGCCAGGCTGGTCTTTTCTGACCTCAAATGATCTACCCACCTTGGCTTTCAAGTGTTGGGATTATAGGCATGAGCCACTGCACCTGGCCTGATTCTTGATGTTTTCCTTTGTTGCTTAGAAATGTCAGGTGTGACTGACTCCCCTGCCCCACACCTACCCGCATCCGCTTGATGCCTGCACGGGTAACCTGCTGGCAGTCATACAGCTCAAGGCGCTCCAGGCCTCGGCAGTTCTCTAGGTGTTCCAGGGCCACATCAGTGATGAGGAGGCAGTTGTCCAGCTCCAGGACCCGCAGCCTCTCGTGGCCGCAGGCGCTGTTGCTCAGGTGCAGGATCCCATCATCTGTGATGAGTTCACAGTGGGACAAGCTCTGGAATAGGGAGAAATGAGTAAACATTTGCAGGACCCTTGTTCCAAGGCTCAAGTCCTAAAAAACGCTGGCAGCTAGCCTTTTTGCCCTTCTGCCATGGGATGACACAGCAAGAATGCCCTCAGCACTTTAGAATTATAAGAAGCTTCTGTTCATTATGAATTACCCAGTCTGTGGTAGCAGCACAAAACAGACTGACGTTAGGCAGTGAGGACCACACACAAAGCCGTGGAGCCCTTTGGGCATGGGTTTGCTGCACTAGGAGTGGCTTCTCTCTTCTAATTGTGTAAAGATGGAAATAAAAATTTCAGGGGAAATTTGGGAGTTTGCCCCCTTGAGAGCCATTTTATTGGCCAGTTCTCCATCTGAGGGGACGCCAGTGAAATCAATGCATCTCATGTCCTTGTTCATTTAGAAAATTGCACTAACAGCTGTGACTCAGAAATGTATTGAACGCTCTGCAAGGTGTATAAATCAAATACACCTTGAACAGTGTGATCTGACATTATAAACTTATCTTGGTTGCAGAAGATAAATTCCGATGAATACTATATAGCCAAATGACATTTGTGTAATTCCCTTTAAGTTCTCCGTATCAATAAGTTTCAGACCTGACAGTTTTCCCCAGTGCATATCAAATGTAAGATTCACCCCACCATGAAAACGAGAGAGGCACAAGTACTGCGTCAACATCCCATTTGTTCATTTGTTCTTTCAAATATATGAGCCCCAATTCTGCCCCAGCCCCCATGTGTGCAATCATGAGGAAAAGTATACTTTTCTGCACTGGTGGAGCCCAGACTGGAGTCTAGAAAATCAAATAATGCTAATTAAGCTTTAAACTGAAGCTGAGGTGCTTTGAGAGCATGTAATAGCAGGATTTGTCCTGAGAAGGAGACCACTGAGTTGATATTTGAAGGGTTAGGAGCTAATCCTAGGAAAGAGCAAAAGTTTGTTGTGTGCAAGGCCCAGGAGAGCAGGAGAATGGCAAGCACTGTGTTTAGGAAGATCAACATCTAATAAGTGGGAAGTAGGAGGACGCATGTAGATGCAGATGGAATTGGGGAGGTAAAGTCCAGATCACCGAGTTGTGTAGGTTATGCCGTTCTGATTCCAAGGTCAGTGGGAAGAGCTGTAAAGATGATGGGATGTTACAATTGTTCTTTAAAAAAGATGGAAAATAAATGTTGGTGAGGATGTGGAGCAATTGTAAGTCTCATAGGCTGCAGGGGTTATTTCGATGTTTCTGACTGAAATGCATACATGTGTTAACCAAAAAACACAGGGACACTGGCTGTAATTGCCCCAAACTAGATGCAGTACTCAAATATTCAAAAACAGAAAGGATAAAGAAATCACAGTGTATCCATTCTATAAAGCAATGAGAATGAACAATACACAACTACATGTGACAATATGGATAAGGAAACCAGATGTATACACCATTCCATTCATATCATTTAAATAAAATACAAAAAGAGGTAAAAACGAATATATGCGATTTGGAAGTCATGACTTTTGGAGGATCAGTGATTGAAAGGGAGCAGAAGGGGCTTTGCAGGGTCAGAACAATGTTGACCTTTGATCAGGGTGTATTCAGTTTATGGAACTGCATTGGTCTATACACCAATGATAAATGTACTTTGCTGCATGTATATTTTACTTCAGTAAAGTTAAAACTGAAAATATAAACCACTCTGACTGCCACATTTTTTAGTGCAGAAGTGGATTCAGTTTAGAGCAAGTGCATGGCTACTGCAGTCTATGAAGCAAGGAGATGCCTGAGACTTTGGACTGGGCAGGTCCGGGTGGGGAGACCTGAGTGGATGGTATAAGGTATTCCTGAAAAATAAAAAATCCAAGACACAGCAATACTGGTTGTAACAGCCCCAAACTAGAAACTAGAACTATTGGCTCTGTGAACTAGGCAGCAGACTACAACCTTGAGGGAAGGGAAGCTAGAGGAGAGAAATTGTGTTGGAACTTGGTGCTTCAAAGATTCTTCTCTGAGCTTGATCTTAATATGGAATATATTTACTTTCTCATGAATTGAACCCCTCCACATGATTAACATCAAGTGGTATTTATGTAATCAATGCTGTTCATTGGTTTTTAGCTTTTTATAATTGACTTATGAGAAAAGCCAGAACTTCATTATGGTTCTCTAGGAGGCTGTTTAAAATTTGGAAATAAAAAAATAGAATGTTGATTATTTATAATAAAATGGAACCAGAAAAAAGTGTCTCCCTGTGTATGTATATATTTCATTTATTTTTATTTTTGAGATGGAGTTTCACTCTTGTTGCCCAGGCTGGAGTGCAATGACGCAATCTTGGCTCACCGCAACCTCCACCTCCTGGGTTCAACCGATTCTTCTGCCTCAGCCTCCCAAGTAGCTGGGATTACAGGCATGCGCCACCACACCAGCTAATTTTGCATTTTTAATAGAGACGGAGTTTCTCCACGTTGGTCATACTGGTCTCAAACTCCTGACCGCAGGTGATCTGCCTACCTCTGCCTCCCAAAGTGCTGGGATTACAGGCATGAGCCACCATGCTGGGCCTATTTCATTTTATTTACATATAGATTCACACATACATATGTGTATATTTATAAACAGATTGGAGAAAGAGGATGATCGAGATGGTGTATGAATGCCAATTTCTCCATTGTTTTAATACAGGGAAATTCAGAAATCAGGAAGTTAGCAGTAATATATGAGACTGAGGAGATACTGTTATATTAATTGAAAAACTTGTACGCCAGGCGTGGTGGCTCACACCTGTAATCCCAGCACTTTGGGAGGCAGAGGCGGGGGGATCGTGTTCAGGAGTTCAAGACCAGCCTGGCCAACATGGTGAAGCCCTGTCTCTACCAAAAATACAAAAATTAGCCGGGTGTGGTGGCACATGTCTGTAATCCCAGCTACTCGCAAGGCTGAGGCAGGAGAATTGCTTGAGCCTGGGAGGTGAATGTTGCAGTGAGCTGAGATTGTGCCACTGCACTCCACCGTGGGTGACAGAGTGAGACCCTGTCCCAAAAAAAAAAGATGTTAATTTCTTAAATGTTTGGTAGAATTCTCCAATGAAACCACTGGAACTGGACATTTTTTTGGGGGGAATCTTAAAACTATACATTCAATGAAAGCAGTAATCATTTAGATACCTTGCCTCCCAAGTTAGCCCAGATCTATTGATCTTTGAAATCAACAGAGATGATACCTTACAGAAAGAGAACCCAAACAGCTTCTTGCTGTGGTAGGAGGGCGTTCACCTCTAACAGGTGAATAACGTCACAGAAACTCAGACTCACCAGGGCTTGCAGTTTGGGACAGTGAATGGAGAGCTGGATGAGCGTGCTGTCGGTTATCTGGAGAGAAACACGCTGTGTCAGTGTGGCTCCCACACCAGAACTTAATACCTAATCCTGGCTTCTCCTGAACATGAGAATCAAAAGGTGTAAAAGAGAATTAAAAACTCATCTCAAACACTCCGGGGCTGGGAGCTCCTCTCTTCACCAGCGCTTCTAGAGATGCAAAACTGTTCTTTGGTCTCTCTTCTGGTGCCGTAAGAGGGCTTAGGGTAAGGGACAAAGAGGGAGTGGGCAAGGAGCGTTCCCAGGACTCTTGTCTTTGGAGTCGCCCCATCACTGGACATGCAAGCTTGTTTTATGGAGCTATCCTGTTCTCTTCTGTAGTTCAGTCTGGGGACTGAGAAGAGCCAAAGGCTCACACATCCAATGCCTCGGCCTTACAGGTTTCCAAGCCCTGCCACCCCAGCTGATCCAGGAGGCTCGGGATGTCTCTGGGTGGGCCGCACCAGCCGGCAGACACCGGGGAGCAGGCTGCCCTGCAGAGCTGTCAGGGGTCTACTCACCAGGATGCATTCTTCAAGATCCATCTTCTCCAATTCGTGGCAATTCTGGAAGAGTCCACAAGACAGACCCCGCATGTAAGCCAGTGGTGAGGGCAACAATGGTGGCTTGCCCTGTCCCTCTGAGTACAGGCCCAGTGTCCTTATTCTCACCCATTAAGAAGTATGCTCTGTTTCTAAAGCCACCCAGTAAACCAGCACTTCTGAGCAGCTGTCTTTTGAACCACAGTGCTTTGGAACTGGGAACAGGGCTGCCTCTGGCTGCATTTCCTTCTCTTGGCCAGGAAAGAGAGTTGTCTACAACCATCCCAGTGCTCGCAGACATCAGCGGGGATATTTTAGCCACAGACCTGGCTCTGAGAGGACCTGGAGATGTGGGGTGCTAAGCCACACTGTGGGGTTGGGTGGAGGTGGCAGAGAGCATCAACAGCCCCAGGAGGTCATGGGCTCCTGGCAGCAGGTCCAGAGGGGCCCCCAGTGGTCAGCATTAGCAGGGCAAAGGGCAGAGTACAGCCCAGTCAGGGGGCACTGCTGAGAGGCCACGTTGGGGTCCCTATGAGGAAATGAGTCTCCTGCCAGGAGGAGGCTTGTCCCACCTGACCCACCTGACCAAGCGTGAGGCCCAGACCCTTTACAGAACTCTACAGGACGTCCCTAGATTTCTGGCTAACTGGAAAAACTACAGTACGCACCCCAGGGGCTTGGCTCCACTTTGTGCCTGTCTTTTCTGAAGGTAGTTTTTTGCACACCCAAAACCACTCCAAGTCACTTGGAATTCAGGAGGTGAATTACAGTTTGGTTCTATTCTTTAAATCTATGCCTTACCCGAGCTAAAAGTGTAAAACCTGCGTCAGTCAAGTGGGAGCATCGGGCAGCCTCCAAAATTCTGGGGAGAAAGTATACAGGGGAGAAAAAGGTACCAGCTGGTGAAGAATGGAAACACATACTTTACGATGCACACACAAGTCTTGTCTGCTCTTTGACGTGCTCTTGCTTCTGTTAACAGCCCTTAGGGAATGTGACGTGCCCAAGTCCCCGCAGTTCCATTCCAAACTTCAGAGTAAATCCAGGAATCTTCCTGCTATACCAGCATGTTGTTTTTAAATATTATTCTAATATTTGTGGGTTTTTTTTAAACAGAGTCTCACACTGCCATCCAGGCTGGAGTGCAGTGGCAGGATCCTGGCTCACTGCAGCCTCTGCCTCCCAGGTTCAAGTGATTCTCCCGCCTCAGCCTCCTAAGTAGCTAGGACTACAGGTGCCTGCCACCATGCCCAGCTGATTTTTGTATTTTTAGTAGAAAAGGGGTTTCACCATGTTGGCCAGGCTGGTCTCAAACTCCTGACCTCAGGTGATCCACCTACCTCAGCCTCCCAAAGTGCTGGGATTACTGGCATGAGCCACTGCACCCAGCCTTGTTCACTTTGTAAACACATTTAAGATGAGCTTTTTCTCAATAAAATCATCTTGGGATTTACTGCATTTATGGAAATTCTCAGGTACCCTAAAGGATTTTTAAAAAATTTGTAGACATTGAAAAATAAGTTAATTCTCAATAGGGATGGATGCATGAATAACATTTCTAAGGTAAATACTCCCTTACAGCAATAATTTTGACCTTCTTTCTGACGAGTTTTGATCATCCAAATTCCTCCTACTAACCAAAAATATCTAAATGATATAGAACCTTCTCTGTAACAGTAAAAAAAATTGGTAAAAGGAGAAATACATAATTTTTAAAAGATATAGAACTGATGTGAGCATGGGAATGGGTCAGTTTCATTGGAAAGTAGAGATTTTTAAAAAGTATCTTTTCTTTTGGCTGGGCATGGTGGCTCACACCTGTAACCTCAGCACTTTGGGAGGCTGAGGCAGGTGGATCACCTGAGGTCGGGAGGTCAGGAACCAGCCCGACCAACATGGAGAAATCCCATCTCTACTAAAAATACAAAATTAGCTGGGTGTGCTGGCGCATGCCTGTAGTCCCAGCTAACTCTGAAGGCTGAGGCAGGAGAATCGCTTGAGCCGGGAGGCGGAGGTTGCGGTGAGCCGAGATGGCACCACTGCACTCCAGCCTGGGCGACAGTAGCAAAACTCTGTCTCAAAAAAAAAAAAAAAAGTATCATTTTTGCTGCCTCTTGGATAGAGTTTAAAGTTGCTGATTCTGAGGTCAAACAATTATTGCTACTATTGTTAAAATTTTAATATTCATAGCTGGTAATGATAATCTATTACCTAGAAGATCAGAATATAAATTATTTGTTTTTTGAGATGGGGGCCTCACTCTGTTTCCCACGCTGGAGCGCAGTGGCATGATCTTTCACTTCAACCTCCGCCTCCTGGGTTCAAGTGATTCTCCTGCCTCAGCTTCCTAAGTAGCTGGAATTACAGGTGCCTGCCACCGCGCCAAACTAATTTTTGTATTTTTAGTAGAGATGGGGTTTCGCCATGTTGGCTAGGCTGGTATTGAACTCCTGACCTCAGGCGATCCGTCCACCTTAGCTTCCCAAAGTTTGGGATTACAGGCGTAAGCCACTGTGACCAGCCTAAATTATTATTTGTTAAAAACAAACCCTTTTCCCTACTGGGGAAGAAGCTAAGTAAGAAGGCGATTATGATATTCCCCCATTCTGTCCGTCTGGCAGCAGGTCCAGAGGAGAAGCTCATGTCCTTTGCATGTGAGGCTATCGCTCTGTTCACTATGTGCTCACTTGGATGCTTAACGAAATACCAGGATGAGGTGAACATTCATTAAGAAAGTAAGGTTTGGATTCACTTGTGGTAGACATGTTATACTCTCCCAGTACATCCCGCAGTGAACTGGATTTACACACTGTCTCACCCCAATTTACCCAACAAAAGCCAGCAACACGCAACTGCTGCCTCCACCGCCACTACCTGGCAAGCCTATCCCCTCCTGCCGGAAGCCCTCTTGGTTAACTCGCCAAACCTGAGCTGCAAAGCAAAAAGCGCGGTGTACTCACTGCAGTCGCGGGCAGTTCAAACCCAGGGCTGTAAGAGAGGCGTCTGTGAGGTTGCTGCAACCCGAAAGGCAGAGGGCCTGCAGCCGGTGACAGCCCCTGCAGAGCTGCACCACACCTTCATCTGTGATGCGCTGAGGAAAGGCAGCACACAAAGAAAAGTCACAGGACGAGCGCGGTACTCAAAGAGGAGCAGCAGCAGAAGACCTGCTGCTGCTCAATTAATTTTGGTGAGTACTAGCATTTTATCCAAATAACTTCAACAAAATAAGCAGACACGTACTTGTGTTATCTCTGCGCAGCTTTAAAATATTCTAGCAATTTTAGATAAGATACGTGCATCCAGGAAAAAGTAAGATCTTTTGTTATTACGAATGGAGAATAAAAGTTTAAAATTCCATTTCTCCCTCACTAGTCATCAAAATATAGATTTTTCATAAAATTGATAAATGCATAATTTTAAAATCTGATTAAAGAACTGACGAGACTTTCCTAGTTTGGGTGACATATTAATATTTGGTTGGATTTCTGCAGATTAATGCTTTAGATATTTATAATATACATATGTATATTTCATCAAACGTTTTAGACAATAGGAAAATTAAATCATGAAATTATTAATACCTTAGAATTTTATGAATTTGGCCATGAAGATTCAAAATAGTATGTTCACTTAAACAGACTAACTGATACACTAATACACAGGCACATCTACATTATGCTTCAAGCCACCTGCCAATGCTGTCCTACACACAAGTCAAGGTCCTGTTTTTGAATAGTCCAGGTTATAAGGTCAACATTTGTCCAGAATATAGTTTCTGGTTTTTTTTCCCACCATCAGAGACTCTAAAGATTTAGAATATATTCATTTAAAGCCAAATGCCAGGGTCTCCCTTACCTTTCTCAAAATCTACGTCCCCTTGAAAACCTGGTAGGAAGCAGCAAGCATCCTCTCCATTATCAATATTTGCAATGGCAGTGGAGAAGGACCAGCAGTTTTTAATAGGCTAATATCCTAATGAAAACGACACCTTACTCTTGCATATGCGTTTTATTTTTTTCATTATTTTTTAACCAGGGGAAACTGTGAACGCAGTCCCCCACTACCACCAATTATGCAGTCGAGTTTCCCACATTTGGGGAAGTCGCAGGGGTCAGCACATCCAGAGCGCAATGGATAAACCTCGCCCTGGGAAAACCACCTTCGTGATCATGGTATCTCCCCTGCCAGGTGCATTTTATTTTATTTATTTATTTATTTATTTATTTATTTTTTTTGAGATGGAGTTTCACTCATGTTACCCAGGCTGGAGTGCAATGGCGCGATCTCGGCTCACCGCAACCTCCGCCTCCTGGGTTCAGGCAATTCTCCTGCCTCAGCCTCCTGAGTAGCTGGCATTACAGGCATGCACCACCATGCCCAGCTAATTTTTTGTATTTTTAGTAGAGACGGGGTTTCACCATGTTGACCAGGATGGTCTCGATCTGTTGACCTCGTGATCCACCCGCCTCAGCCTCCCAAAGTGCTGGGATTACAGGCGTGAGCCACCGCGCCCGGCCCATTTTATTTTTTAAAGCATTTTCACATGTGTTATTTCATTTTTTTCCACTGAAACAACGTGAGAAGAGTCATCGTCCTCAATTTATAAGTTAAAAAGAAAAAGACACTGAGATTTTATCATGAAATTGTTAGGTCTTACAACTATTTAGTGACCAGTTCACAGCATTCCTCAATAGTGTCCCTAATACTCGATTCACCAAAATCACACCTGGTCTATGTTATTTTTAGGGGCGATGTCAGTGGCTTTGTATTGAGGATGATTCCTTTTGGTTGCTGCTGTTCTTCCATCTTGTGACAAACTTGTAGGTCATATAAGGACTCAGGATGAAAAATCCGGGTGTGGCAACACAGCCCATCTCAGCTGCCTGGAGGGCTGCAGGGAGGCTCGGGGCACACTGCTTTGGGAGAGCACAGAGCAGATGGCGTTGAGGAAAGGCATGCCACTTACCGAGCAGGACTGTAGGTTGAGGCTCACAAGCTCGTGGCAGTAATTCTGAATGTGTTTCAGAGCTTCATCTTCTAACTGAGTGGACAGAGAAAACAAAAGACAGCTGGAATCCAGGTGAGGGAACAGGGGGACACCAAGGAAAATGCAAAAGCAACCTCCCCAATGAGGTGTCCACACCTGACACGTAACACACACAGCTGTATCTACGCTCGGGTACCTGTGTGCAGCCCCTCAGGAGCAGGGCTTTCAGGCCTCGACAACCTCGCACCAGTGCCTCGATGCCATCCTTTGTGATCTGGTCACACCAAGAGAGGTTCAGGTATTCCAGGTTTCGGCAGCCCTCACTGAGAGAACAAGAAACAAAAACGTATGTGCAGTCTCTCCTGTAGAGAGTTCATTACTAACTCTGAGCTTACGACATCACAAGAAATTCAGGGGAGACCATGCCTGGGACCTCTTGGAGTCACCTACTTCCCTCTTCAATGTGACAGTTAGGAAGGCTTCCAGAACGTTCATAGCTTTGGGTATTTCTCTTGACCACAAACAGTGGGCACTCCTACCTGATCCCCTTCAAGGAGCTGTTTGTAATAGACACACAGGAGGTCAGATCCAGATGTTTCAGCTTGGAACAGAATCTGCTAAGGCTATAACACGTGCTGAAAAAGAGCAGGCGCACTAAAGATATTTTCAACCCCGTTTCTCTCCCGTCACTCTCCCCATGGCTATTTAGTCACCAGCTAATCTTCATTACTTACCTGTCCGTGATTTTTGTGCATCCATTGAGGTTTAAATGTTCAATGTTTCGGCAGTTCTGTGCAAAGGTCCTAAAATGAGAAAACATTTTAAAGCTCCCTGCAAGTTGCTGGACAGCCACCAGAGGGCACATGAAACCACTGACGTTTAGAACAGCGCTCCCTCAAACTTTAAAGCATGTAAGCATCAACTAGGGTTCTTGTCAGAGTGCAGATTCTGACGGTAGATCTAGAATGGAGCCTGCCAGTCTGCAGTTCGAGGAAAACCCCAGGTAATGCCACTGCTGCCAGTCTGGGGATCACATTTTGAGAAGCAGAGTCCTAGACTGACTACCTATCAATCAGTTCTCCTTCACCTGCAGCTTGGTGTCATCACCAAATCATGAGAATAGAGGCCTAGCACCCTGCTCCCTCTGCTCTACAGAAAAATTAATTTGAAGCAAGGGGGCAAACCTTGTACTGTGCCATGCTGTCACTTGCTTACCCTAGAGCCTTTCCAGAGAAACCATCTCTGGCAATTGATAGAAGTCAGCAGTCAATCAGTATCAAGACCCACTGATTTTACTGGTGAGGACACTCAGTCATGAAGAGAAACTTCCTCATTGATCTGTGGGTTGGTAGCAAGGTCAGAAGCAGCAAATTAAAACCCCCTATTGAGCACTCAGTGCTTAACATATTCATCAAGGACTAGCTCAAGTCATCTCCATAAATTTGAAATACAGTTTTGACATATGGGATGGAGTCCTGACCCTTTCATGCTATACCCCAAAGCCATCAAAACCTAACCTTACCCTTATTTGCTCCTTCCAACCTGCCCTGGTACAGGGAGGGGGAACCAAGCTGGAGCCTGATGCACTGTCAGAGATGAAGAGATGGGGCTGAGAGTCTAGGAAGACCCAGGCAGATGGAGTTATCTCACAAGAGCATGGGAGTGGAGAGAATGCCACAAAAACTACAGAGATCTGTGGAGGGTGCCCTTCAAGACTTAAGTACAGGCCAGGCACGATGGCTCATGCCTGTAATCTGAGGACTTTGGGAGACCAAAGCAGGAGAATCACTTGAGCCCAAGGGCTTGAGACCGGCCAAGGCTACACGGTGAGAGTCTATCTCCAAAACAACAACGACAAGAATTCAGTACCACACTGATCAGTGTATGCATGTGATGAAACTACCCAAAGCCCAAGGCCAGGGAATAAGAATCAACAAAAAGCATTAAAGCAAACAGTAGCCAGAACTCACCCAGAGCAAGGAATAGTGTCCATTTCTACCAAGATAGAGTGAAAAATGCCACATTTCTTGGGGGCATAGGGTATTGAGAAGAGTCTTCCTTTAGGAGTGGAGTACAATTAGCCCTCAACGCTGCTTTGATACAACCTAACAAATCTTAAAAACAAGACCTAACAGGAACTATTCCCAATGAACTCAACTGTATCCCAGAACAAAACCCAAGAGTATTTACAGGGATACAAAAATATCTGCACCCAACAAAGTAAAATTCACAATGTCTGGCATTGAACAAAAAATTATCATGTTTTCAAAGGAGGAGGAAAATATATCCATAATAAAAAGAAAATGTAATCTACTAAAACCTACTCTAAACTGACACAAATAGCAGAAAGAACAAATACATTAAAAATTATAATGTTATTGCCTAGACTATATTTCTATGAAGCTAACAAATAAACATGTTATGTAGACACATGGAAAAGAAGAGATCCAAGTTAAACTTTTAGATATGAAAACCAGCCAGGTGCAGTGGCTCATGGCTGTAATGCCAGCACTTTGAGAACCTGAGGGAGGCAGATCACCTGAGGTCAAAAGTTCAAGACCAGCCTAGCCAACATGGTGAAACCCTGTCTCTACTAAAAAAATAAAAAATAAAAAAAAATTAGTTGGTGTGGTGGCACATGCCTGTAGTTCCAGCTGCTCGGGAGACTAAGGCAGAAGAATCACTTGAACCCGGGAGGTGGAGGTTGCAGTGAGCCAAGATTGCACCACCGCACTCCAGCCTGGGCCACAGAGCAAGACTCCATCTCGGGGAAAAGAAAAAAAAAGATAAGAAAACCACAATGACTGAAATAAAACTTTACTGGATGAAATTAATAACAGATTATATATGGCAGAAGAAAAGATTAGTGAACTTGAAGACGTAACAATAGCAACTATCAAAAATGAAACACAGGGGAATAAAAGAGAGAAAGAACAGAGCATGAATGAACTGTAGGACAACTTCAAGTAACTAATATACATGTGACTGGAATCACCAAATAAGGAGGAGACAGAGGAAGGAGGAAAAAATACTGAAGAGATAATTGCCAAGATTTTCCCGAACTTTACGAAAACAATAAATCCATAGATCAAAGGAACCCAAAAGAATCACAAGTACAAGCAACATGAAGAAAAACACACCGAGGCATGTCATAACCAAATTGATCAAAACTAGTGACAGATTAGCCATGTGTGGTAGCGTATGCCTGTGGTCCCAGCCATTTGGAAGGCTGAGGTCAGAGGATCACTTGAGCTCACGAGGTGGAGGTTATAGTGAGCTGAGATTGTGCCACTGCATTCCATCCTGGATGACAGAGTGAGACTCCATTGAGAGAGAAAGAGAGAAACCAATGATGGGGAAACCCTAAAAACAGCCAGAGAACAAAGCCATGTTATATAAAGAGAATAAAACATAAGGGCGACAGCAGATTTCTCACTGGTAATGCAAAAGCAAGAAAACAGAGGGGCACCATCCTTAAAATACTGAAAACAAAAAATGGTCACTACAGAATTCTATACTCAGCAAAATGATTCTTTTTAAGTGAAGAAAAAAATAGACTTTTTTAGACATAGAAGAGCTGAAAGAATTAATCAGACTTGCAGTAAAACAAATGTAAAAAAGTTTCTTTAGGTAGAAAGAAAATGACACCAGATTAAAAAAATGTGTCTACAGAAAGGAATGACTGGACATATGAACTACTTGGGTATATACAATTTTTAAATTTAAATATCTTAAAAATAGGCTGGGCACTGTGACTCATGCCTCCCAACACTTTGGGAGGCTGAGGTGGGCAGACCCCTTGAGGCCAGGAGTTTGAGACCAGCCTGGCCAACAAGGTGAAACCCTGTCTCTACCAAAAGCACAAAAATTAGCCAGGTGGGGTGGTACATGCCTATAGTCCCAGCTACTTTGGGAGGCTGAGGCACAAGAATCATTTGAACCCAGGAGGCAGAAGTTGTGGTGAGCCTAGATCACGCCACTGCACTCCAGCCTGGCTGACAGAGTGAGACTCTGTCTCAAAATAAATAAATAAAAATAACTAAATAAATAAATCTCTTAAAAATAATTGACTGTTAAACAAAAATACTAAATCTATTATGGAGTTTATGTAATTAGAATTAAAATGTACGACAACAATAGCATAAAGACGGAGTGAGAAGAAATGGAAGTGTTATGTAATACAATATGAAGGTAAACTGTTGTACATTAAAGATGTATTCAATAAACTCTAAAACAACGACTAAACATATGAAGAGTTATAGAAACTAAGCTAAAAAAGAATATAAAATGAAATCATAAAAAATGCTTAATCTCAGCCAGGCATGGTAGCTCGTGCCTGTAATCCCAGCACTTTGGGAGGCCAAGGTGGGCAGATCACTTGAGGTCAGGAGTTTGAGACCAGCCTGGGCCACATGGTGAGACCCAATCTCTACTAAAAATACACAACTTAGCCAGGCATAGTGATGCATGTCTCAGCTACTTGGGAGGCTGAGGCACAAGAATCACTTGAACCTGGGAGGTGGAGGCTGCAGTGAGTCGAGATTGTGCCACTGCACTCCAGCCTGGGCAACAGAGCTAGACCTTGTCAAAAAAAAAAAATCTAAAAGAAGAAAGAAAAAGAGGAAAGGGAAAAAAAAATGTTTGGGACAAACAGAAAACAAAGGCAAAAGGGTAGATTTACACCTAACCCATTCCCTAGTAAATGGAAATGGTCGCCGGGCGCGTGGCTCAAGCCTGTAATCCCAGCACTTTGGGAGGCCGAGGCGGGTGGATCCCGAGGTCAAGAGATCGAGACCGTCCTGGTCAACATGGTGAAACCCCGTCTCTACTAAAACTACAAAAAATTAGCTGGGCATGGTGGTGCATGCCTGTAATCCCAGCTACTCAGGAGGTTGAGGCAGGAGAATTGCCTGAACCCAGGAGGCGGAGGTTGCGGTGAGCCGAGATCGCGCCATTGCACTCCAGCCTGGGTAACAAGAGTGAAACTCTGTCTCAAATAAAGAAAGAAAGAAAGAAAGAAAGAAAGAAAGAAAGAAAGAAAGAAATAAATAAATAAATGGAAATGGTCTAACCCAAATTGAAAAGCAGAGATTGTCATATTGGATAAAAAGCAACACCCAGCCGGGCACAGTGGCTCATGCCTATAATCCCAGTACTTTTGGACACCAAGGCAGGCAGATCATGAGCTCAGGAGATCAAGACCATCCTGGCACACAGTGAAACCCTGCCTCTACTAAAAACACGAAAAATTAGCCAGGCATGGTGGCACATGTCTGTAGTCCCAGCTAGTTGGGAGGCTGAGGTGGAAGAATCACTTGAACACGGGACGTGGAGGTTGCTGTGAGCCAAGACTGTGTCACTGCACTCCAGCCTGGGTGACAGAGCAAGACCCTATCTCAAAAAAAAAAAGCAAAAAAAAAGCAATACCCAACTATATGCTGCGTATAAGAAATCAACTTTAAACATGGATACAAATAAAGTAAAATTGTAGGAAAACTTATATAATGCCAATACTAGTTAAAAGAAAGCTGGAGTGACTATATCAGACAAAGTAGATTTTACAGTAAAGAAAATTATCAGGGATAAAAGAAGGACATATCAATAAAAAAGACATAGCCATTCTAAGCGTCTGTATGCACAATAACAGAGCTTCAAAACACAGGAAGCAAGACCTGATAGCACTGTGAGGAGAAATTAACAAATGAAAATTATAGGCAGAGATTTCAATACTCCTATTAGTTGATAAATTAGTAGTCAAAAAATCAGTAAGAATACAGAGGACCTGCTCAACACTATCAACCAACCTGACCTACTGGTATTGATAGCACGCTTCATCTAACAGTGGAACATACACTCTTCAAGTGTACAGGGGACACTTGCCAAGAGAGACCATATTATTGGCCACAAAAAAAGTCTCAATAAAATTAAAAGGATTCAAAACTATGTTCTGTGACCACAACTGAATTCAATTAGAAATCAGTAACATGCTCTTCTGGAAAATGTCCAAATATCTGGAAACTAAATAATATTGTTCTAAACAACCCATGGATCAGGGAAGAAATCAAAAGGGGAATTAGAATGCATTTTGCATGAAAATGAAAACATAGCTTACAAGAATTTTTGACATAAATTTTCCCCAAAGTATTTAGTTAGTTTATGTCATGAAACTCCCATACTAGAAAAAAAGGTCTCAAATCAATGACTTGAGCTTCCATCTTAAGAAACTAGAGAAAAAACAAAAACAAATGAACCCCAAAGTAGGCAAAAGGAAGGAAATAATAAAGATCAGACTGGAAAGAAAAGAAGTAGAAAACAGAAAAACAATGAAAAATGGGTGAAAGCGAAAGCTGGTTCTTTGAGAATATCAATAAAATTGATAGACCTCTTAATAGCCAGACTGACAAGGACACACACACACACACACATACACACACACACAAAGACAACAATTACCAATTTCAGAAATCAGAGAGGGGATATCACTGCAGATTTTACAGATATTAAAATGATAAGAGGATATTATAAACAATGCTAACAAATTCAAGAACTTAGGTGAAATGGACAAATTCCTTGAAAGACACAGACTACCAAAACTCATTTGCAAAGAAATAATCAGAAAAGTTCTATACATATTAAAGAAATTGAGGCCAAGTGTGGTGGCTCACGCCTGTAATCCCAGCACTTTGACAGGCTGACGCAGGCAGATCACCTGAGGTTAGGAGTTCAAGACCAGGCTGGCCAACATGGTGAAACCCTGTTTCTACTAAAAATACAAAAATTAGCCAGGCAATAATCCCAGCTACTTGGGAGGCTGAGGCAGGAGAATTGCTTGAGGTTGCAGTGGGCCAAGGCTGTACTATTGAGGTCCAGCCTAGAAAACAAAAAAAAAATTCATCTTAAAAAAAAAAAAAAAAAAAAAGGGAAATTGAATTTGTAATTAAAAACCTTTCCCTAAAAAAAAAATGTAGGATCAGATGGCCTCAATAGTGAATTCTATAAAACATTTTTAAAAAAAATACAAATTGTACAAAAACACTCCCAGAATTAAAAAAAAAATTTTTTTTTGGTATTTTTTAGAGGTAGGGTCTCTGTCATCCAGCTTGGAGTATGGTGGTATGATCATAGCTCACTGCAGCCTTGAACCCCTGGGCTCAAGTGATCCTCCCACCTTAGCCTTCCAAATAGCTAGGACTACAGGCATGTGCCACCACACCCAGCTATTTAATTTTTTTTTTTTTTTTTTTTTTAGAGATGTGGTCTTGTTGTGTTGCCCAGGCTGGTCTCAAAATCCTGAGCTCAAGTGATTCTCCCATCATGGCCTCCCAAAGCACTGGGATTACAGATGTCAGCCACTGAACACATCCCTAGAAATGTGAATAGGAGGAAATACTTCCCAATTCATTCCATGAAGCCAGTATTACCTTGATACCTAAACCAGAAAAAAGCATTATAAGAAAATAAAATCATAAGACAATATTCCTTATGAGCACAAATGCAAATTTTTTTAACAAAACTGTAGCAAATAGGATCCAATAATATATAAAATATATAATACATGGCAATTCAAGTGGGCTTTATCTGAGTGATGGAAGGTTGTTTAAACATGTTTAAATGAGCCAATCTAATTCATGATCTTAACAAACTGAAAAAGAAAAACCAAATGATCATCTATGTTGATGGAGATAAAGCATGTGACAAAAATCTAACATCTCCAATTAAAAAAAAAAACCAGTCAGCCAACTAGGAATAGAAGGTAATTGCCTCAATTTGATGATCATCAAGAAAAAAATCTATAGCTAACATCATAAATGAATGCTTTCACTGTAAGATTGAGAAACTTGGCTAGTATATTTACTTTCACCACTCTGTTCAACATTGTGCTACAGATTCCAGCCAATACATCAGGTAAAAAAAAAAAAAAAAAAGAAAGAAAAAAAAAAGGCATCAACTGGAAACAAGGAAGAAAAACTATCTTCATTTACAGGTAATATGAGTATGCAGAAAATCTAAAGGAATTTTTTAAAATAGCTATTAAAACTAACAAGTGAGTTTGTCAGGGTTATAGGAGACAAGATCAATGTAGAAAAATCAATAATATTTCCATTTACTAGAAATGAATAATTGAAAAATACACTTACAACAGTATATCAAAATACTTGGTGATAAATATTACAAAAGATGTGCACAATCTGTACACTGAAAACTACAAAACATGCTGAGAGAAATTTTTAAAAATCTAAATATAAAGATATACTATGTTCATGGATTGGAAGACTCAATATTGTTAAGATGTCAGTTCTCCCCCAAACTGACCTATAGATTCAACACCATCCTAGTCAAGATCCCACCAGACTGTTTTATAAAAATTGACAATTTAATTCATATGGAAGTGTGGTGGATGTGGAGCAGCCAAAACAACTTTGAAAAAGAGCAAAGTTGGAAAACTAACACAACTTGATTTCCAGATGTTATAAAGCTACAGTTATTTCTCAATGTAATCTGGTCTTCACATGTAAAAATGCATACAGATATCTAACCAATTTATATAGATTTTTGTTCTAAAACTCAGGGTAAACATATAAGCACTCTTAGTCCCATAAGGTTGTTTTGCTAGTAGATATGACTTTATTCCAAATGCCAAGAATGTACTTCTTTGATAGCGTCATTGACTATCCACATCTTCTAATTTATTTGAGTTTCTTCAAAGAAACCAGGATTAGATTTATGTTCTCTATTACAAATTACCTTAAAACCTATTGGTCCATTTAAACTTCCTATTAAGATAGAATCACCCCATTCCACTGGTTTATAAAGCTTTTGAATTAGCAGAAAATTTGTTTTGATGGACTGAATTTTTTGATTTAAAGAAAATCATTTTGTTCCATAACATTTAAAGTGAGTGTTTTTATACTTAAAAGATGTTGTGAATCAATTTTTTTTTTTTTTTAGTAATGGTGTAGCAGATGTTTGAATTATAAATTCTACCGTCTGCATTCACTCTATGTTGCACATTCTTACTGGAAGTCTGTGATTGCTGTACACTGTGGTAATATTTAGGTCTGCAAGAACACAAAGTGCATTCCAAGGTTATGGGGGGGATACATCACAATTTAGTGAACTTCATAAGCAATACAAGAGGCCATGAGGATAAAGACATGAAGGTTTTAATCATCTCTGTCTCCAGAAAACCTCAAAGCACATATCTTTTTTTTTTTTTTAAGAGAAGGGATCTCATTTTGCTGCCCACGCTGGTCTCAAACTCCTGGCTTCAAGGCATCTTCCCACTTCATCCTCCCAAAGTGCTGAGATTACAGGCATGTACGACTGTGCCTGGCCAGCACACATCCTTAACACATAAACACATAATATTCCCAATAGCCTGGGTACAGCAGTTTATGCCTGTAATTCCAGCACTTTGAAAGGCCAAGACGAGTGGATCACTTGAGGTCAGGAATTTGAGATCAGCCTGGCCAACATCGTGAAATCTCATCTCTACTAAGAATACAAAAATTAGCAGAGCATGGTGGTGCATGCCTGTAATCCCGTAATCCCAGCTACTCAGGAGGCTGAGGCAGGAGAATCACTGGAACCTGGGAGGTGGAGGTTACAATGAGCAGAGATTGTGCCACTGCACTCCATCCTGGGCTACAGAGTGAGACTCAGTCTTAAAAACAAAACAACAACAACAACAACAAAAAACAAAAACCATTCCCAATAAATAATGGCTATCCAGTAAGAGATGGGCAAATATTTAGTTGGGTAAGATATATTGCTAATTATAATAAAATTAATGTAAAAATCACATCCCATTATGAGTAAGCAAAATTCTATCTTACGCCAAGGAAAATTCTGAAATAGTTATTTTATCAATTATTACAATTTAGACATAAAAGTAGCAATATTATAAGAGGAAAACTAGGAAGATGCAGAAAAAAAGGGAATAGAAAAGAGGTGAACAAATAATATTATTATGTGCTAGTCACTTCATACATATTATTTCTTGTTATGCTCATAACAGTCCTGTGGGGGTTATAACTGTCCCGACTTTGCAGAAGAAAGAACTGACACTCAGCCAGGTGAAATAATTTGTCCCAAGGTCACATCCCTAACAACAGAGCAACTCAGTTTCCAACCCAGGTTTGCTATTCCAAAATCTTGGTCCTTTCACCACTCTATGCAAATTACCACAGAAAGAATCTTAACAGAGCATGTAATAGGCTTATTTTTGCTGATGAAGATGTCTGCAACAAGCTGCCATGACAGTGAGCCGCTGGATTTGACTTACTTCAAGGAGGAATCCCCGACACCAATGCAGCCTCGCAAGCTGAGCTTCCTCAGGAATCCACCGCATCGCTTCGAGATATTTTCCACCACTCGACCCTTTAATCAAGAAAGTTGGGGGGGGGGAAAACACTTTTTTTTCATGCTTGTTTTCTAACAGGCAAATAACCTGAATTCTAGGAACTGAATATATTTTTCCAAGTGTAATAGAAGATATGCTGGAACATTCTTCTTGCACCTCAGTTCTGTCCTTCATGCATAAAGGGGCTGCAAGCACTGAAAAACATTCTCAATTAAAGCATTAATTATTCTAAAACCAACCAACAAACAAAAACAAACACAAAAACAAAAACCTGTACCCTATCTTTTGAAAGCCTTAGCCCCGGGGTTAAGCCTTCCCTACACAGGGCTCACAGGTATTCCGCTGATCATAAGGCTTTCTGAGGTTAGCTGTGGGAATATCAGCCACTGAGCAGAGAACTACGACAATGCTGCTTTAAAAAGAAAATCCTACTTTAGCTAAACATTATCGCTTTAAAAGCATAACAATATATTGTAAAAGCTCCCCCTCATCCTCCTTAGCAGTCCCCTTCTTAAATACATTTGCTTTGAAAAAGGAACTTTTGCCGGGTACTGGCAGAGAGATTACAGGAAGCAAAAAGAAAATGAACACTGATTAAGCACTTCTTCCACTTAAAAAAAATATTTTCTATTTCAAATCACTTTTTTACTTTAGAGACGGGGTTGGTGGTGGTGGGGTCTCACTCTGGTGCCCAGACTGGAATACAGTGGTGTGGTCATAGCTCATTGCAGCCTCTAACTCCTGGGCTCAAGTGATTCTCCTGCCTCAGCCTACCACATAACTAGGATTACAGGCCCACACCGGGATTATTTCATACATATTATTTCTTGTTATGCTCACAGCAGTCCTGTGAGAGTTATAACTGTCCCGACTTTGCAGAAGAAAGAACTGACACTCAGCCAGGTGAAATAATGTGTCCCAAGGTCACATCCCCAACATGCATCTGGCTCACTTCTATTTTTTGAGGAACAACTTCTTGTACCTATTATGGCTCGTTTAATAGTCAAAACAACTTCAGGAACACTCCCAAAATGGAGATAAGGAAGAGTATGTGTGGGATACAGACGATCCCTTAGGGAACCCCATAGTACTACCATGCCCTGTGACTTATGCCAGTAGCAAACCACAACAACCCCATCCAAGCAGGACTATTTTTTTTTCCCATTTATTTATTTTATTGCATTTTAGGTTTTGGGGTACATGTGAAGAACATGCAAAATTGTTGCATAGGAACACACGTGGCAGTGTGATTTGCTGCCTTCCTCCCCATCACCTACATCTGGCATTTCTCCCCCTGCTATCTCTCCCCAGCTTCCCACCCCCCACCGTCCCTCCCCTATTTCCCCCCAACTGACCCCAGTGTGTAGTGCTCCCCTCCCTGTGTCTATGTGTTCTCATTGTTCAACACCCGCCTATGAGTGAGAACATGCGGTGTTTGATCTTCTGCTCTTCTGTCAGTTTGCTGAGAATAATGGTTTCCAGGTTCATCCATGTCCCTACAAAGGACCCAAACTCATCGTTTTTGATGGCTGCACAATATTCCATGGTGTATATGTGCCACATTTTCCCTGTCCAGTCTATCGTCGATGGGCATTTGGGTTGGTTCCAGGTCTTTGCTATTGTAAACAGTGCTGCAATGAACATTCGTGTGCATGTGTCCTTATAGTAGAACAATTTGTAATCCTTTGGATATATACCCAGTAATGGGATTGCTGGGTCAAATGGTATTTCTATTTCTAGGTCCTTGAGGAATCACCACACTGTTTTCCACAATGGTTGAACTAATTTACACTCCCACCAACAGTGTAAAAGTGTTCCTATTTCTCCACATCCTCTCCAGCATCTGTTGTCTCCAGATTTTTTAATGATCGCCATTCTAACTGGCGTGAGATGGTATCTCAATGTAGTTTTGATTTGCATTTCTCTGATGACCAGTGATGATGAGCCTTTTTTCATATGTTTGCAAGCAGGACTATTAATGACCAGACCCTTCAGGAATAAAGGTCTGAGTCACTCCACCAGGTAAAGAGCCATGATCAGCTGAGGTGTTTGCTGAAAGCAAAGGAATACAGAAATGCATCGTAGAAGAAGGCAGTTATAAATACTAACTACAACCTCTACCTCCACAAGGGAGGAAAAGTTCAAAAGGAACAGTTTCATTTGTTTGGAATACTATTATCCTCATTTTCTAAAACAGCAATCTTGGCACTGAACTGTGAGCATGACGAATTCACCAGGATGCACCAAAACTAAAAGAACTGGGCACAGTGGCTCATGCCTGTAATCCCTGCACTTTGTGAGGCTGAGGAGGGCAAATCACTGGAGGTCAGGAGCTCAAGACCAGCCTGGCCAACATGGTGAAACCCCATCTCTACTAACGATACAAAAATGAGTCAAGCATGGTGGGGCACACCTGTAGCCCTAGCTGTTTGGGAGGCTGAGGTTGGAAAATCGCTTGAGTCTGGGAGATGGAGGTTGCAGTGAGCCAAGATCACACAACTGTACTACTCCAGCCTGCGTGACACAGCAAGACTCCATTTCATAAAAACAAACAAACAAAAAACTCCATAGGATACATATTGTTACCTAGTTAAGATCTTAATTATGGTGAAAATCCAACTTTTGATACTGCTAGCATCCATTTATACTTTCTTGAGACTACCTGTATTAATTATTAATATTTTTTGAAGCAAAATTCCAGACAAGTGTAAAATAAATCTTTGTCACCAGGGGGAAAAAGATTATGACTTAGAAATCAAAGATAAGAATTTATTTTCCTAATAAACAGGGAAAAATAACACACCTCTACACCAATGTCTACAAATGGAGCAACTAACATACTGTTCTCCATTTCAAGTTAGTAACATTTATATAAACTTTCTCTTCCTCCTTTTTGGGGGCAAAGTTCTTGTACTGGAATAAAATACTACAAACACAATTTTCTGTTCCACTGTTTCCAACTAAGAGGGAGGAAAAAAGCAAATCCATTTCAATGCAGTATTCAAGCCAATGATTCTGTGTCTTATCTACTAGACAATATGTTGTAGGCATTCATTTTGGAATGAAGGGCTTTAGAGAAAAATAAGCCCTAAAATGGGCTTAAACATCCTTGGAGTTATCGCTTTTAGATTCACACTACTTGTTTCTCATTTTTGGCCTACCACAATCTTCAATAACCATGAAAACACTGACAACAAAATGTCCAACTTTTAAAGGCACAGAAAATGCCAACCCAAACTTCAGCTAAAGCACACGCATTCAGGAAAGATTGACGAAGGAAAGCTAGCGTGCGTACTGCCACCTGGATGCTTCACTCGGCCTTTTCTTTGAATTGTGCCAGTCATGCAACCCACCATTCAAGGAAACTACAGTCTCCTCTTAGTGGGTGAGTGACCCTGGGTAAGTTACTCAACCTTTTCTGTGCCTCAGTTTCTTTAATATGGTGCTTTGAAGAGAATTAACTGCATTAATGTACGCAAAGTGCTTACAGCTATGCCGGGCAACTTTTCTTTTCTCTCAACATATCCAAAAGTTGTCACTCCTTCCCAAAGGGCATATTTTTAAGACTATCCATAAAATGTTTCCTAGGGCAAGCATCCTCCAAAGGGTCTTGTTGAAGGACTATGGAGGACCCCAAGACTTGGTTCATAATCTAGGCTGGACTCAGGGTGCTAGCCCAAAAGGGAAGCTAAGTGTTATGACTAGATTGAAACCCTGGTGCAAGCTATTTTAGGTTTTCACATTCAATTATTTATGTAACCGGTGAACCATGAACTGGCTTCCCCTTTGTACTTTTAAGTATTTCTGGGATGTGTTTATATAACAGTTAGCTGAAAGTCAGCAGTCAGTTAAAATCTTATAAGCAAATAATCCACAGGTAATGATATTTACTTGAAATAGTAGTGCTTTTTAATATCAAAATAATTTTTTTAGTGTATTTTGGGCTCTTGTGTACATGTGCACATCCTGCATCCTGCAGGATTGTTGCATAGGTATATACATGCCATGGTGGGTTGCTGTCTCCATCCCCCCGTGCCCCAACCCCACCCCCGTCACATCAGGCATTTCTCCCGGTGTAATCCCTCTCATCCTCCCCACCCTCTCACTTTCCATCCCCTTCCCTCCCCTTCAACCCCACACCTAGTCCAGTAAGTGTTATTTTCTTCCCTGTGCCCAAGTGTTCTCATTGTTCGTCAGCCGCTTATGAGAGAAAACGTGCTGCTTGGTTTTCTGTTCTTGTGTCACTTTGCTGAGTATGATGGTTTTTAGATTCATCCATTCTCTACGAAGGACACAAACTCGTCATTTTTTATGGCTGCATAGTATTCCATGGTGTATATGTGCCACATTTTCTTTGTCCAGTATATCACTGATGGGCATTTGGGTTGGTTCCAGGTCTTTGCTATCGTAAACAGCAATAAAACGAACATACATGTGCACGTGTTTTTATAATAGAGTGATTTACAATCCTTTGGGTATATACCCAGTAATGGGATTGCTGGGTCAAATGGAATTTCTATTTCTAGATCCTTGAGGAATCATCACACTGCCTTCCACAATAGTTGAACTAATTTACACTCCCACCAACAATGTAAAAGTGTTCCTTTTACTCCACATTTCACATTTTCTCCAGCATCTGCTGTCTCCAGATTTTTTAATGATTGCCATTTGAAATGGCATGAGATGTTATCTCAATGTGGTTTTGACTTGCATTTCTCTAATGACCAGTGATGATGAGCATTTTCTCACGTTTGTTGGCTGCATATATGTCTTCTTTTGAAAAGTGTCTGTTCATATCCTTCACCCACTTTTGAATGGGTTTTTTTCTTGTAAATCTGCTTTAGTTCTTTGTAGATTATGGATATTAGCCCTTTGTCAGATGGGTAGATTGCAAACATTTTTTTCCCATTCTGTTGGTTGCTGGTTCACTCTAATGATTGTTTCTTTTGCTGTGCAGAAGCTTTTAAGTTTATTTAGATTCCATTTGCCTATTTTAGCTTTTGTTGCCATTGCTTTT